CTAGAGGCTTTAACAATTCATGGGGTTCTAAGGCGCCTCTTTATGTGCTTTCAACACGTAAAAAAGGCAAATACAAGAACAGTAGCAGTCCTGTAACTGCGTGCCCAAAGAGATCATTAAAGGCTTGGCTACTTTTTGATCCTCCCTGTGTGGCCGACCACATTCCCCCTCCTATGACGTATTCGACTGAAATAAAAATGTTTAATGAATTTTTAAAGTCTTCCTGCACGTCTCAGGACAAACTGTTCTCTATGCATAAAAGAAAGTAAAAATCTGGTCTCCTTTAGTGTTGCACGTGGTTTGCCTTACGAGTATGACTTTTCTAACTACGTGTCAATTCCCCTGATGGAAGAGAAATTTTCTCTCCCATAGTAGGAGTGAGGCTAAAAAGTTAGTCATAGACTCCCAAATAGGCTTTTCCATGATGATTCTTCTCATCTCAATTAAGATGTTTGCATGCAATGTGAACTACAGCTTCCTTTGATGCTTTCATAGCAGCGTGATCCTGAGTGATTTCCACTTGAAATGTCCTCCTACCGCCACTGAAGAAGCATATCCATTAAAGCCACTTTAACAGTGTTTCTGTGACAATGGATTGTCATGAACTTCGTTACAATCTGTTCAACCATCGCATCGACCACTAAGGGGCATAGTTTTTCCTTCTTTCCTCGTATTCTGCCATGTATTTCTAGTATGCATTCCAGTTGGCTATTTTGATCTTGATGAAACACAAAAATAGAAGAAATTCGTTTCCAAAGTACATAAATTGGTCACTCAAAGTACACTTATGCTGCATGGCTCCGTGCGTTTCGGAGGAGATTACATCCCCTTATTATAGCTGGTCGTAGCTCCGCTTTACCTTTTCATGACGGTCTAATTCTTGCTAAATCACATGGAGTCATCAGCATTAAAATATGGATCGACGGATACAAGGCAAGTACTAGAGAGGAATTGCGTGGAACCACTTCATTTGAGGCGATTCGCAAATCCCCCAAATTGCCGCTCTGTTGCCAGAGGCGACGCACCGGTTGATCACAAATGGCCAATTCCCACAACTAGACCCCAAACCAGACCGACGTGGGAAAGGGATAGCTCAAGTGGAGACGATTTGGAAAGCTCATAGACTAATCTGGGCGTTGATTTCTACCACGCTTTTTCGAGTTGGGGTAGCTGGGAAGGTCAAAATGCAATTAAATAATAGCCTTACAGGAAGTTGTCTTCAAAGTTGAGGCTAAAAGTGGACAGGGAAATACGGATTCTTTATTGGCGAGGGGAATCGTCGCCGTAGAAACTTGCATGATAAAAATTCGTTTTACTTATCAATTGATGCATAAACACAAACAAAAATCACTCTGGAGAGGTGACTGGCACCAGCAGTGTCGTGCTCGAATAATGAGGCCTTAAAGCAAGAACACATAAAGACAGACTTACACAAATCTTTTTCCTCTCACAAAATATATAATATTGTCAATGCAAAAATGGGTCACCGTATCTATGAGGGTGTGGTGTTACCGAGAAGAGCATTGAGGTCAAGTATCAGGTGGTAGTTGACAGGACCCTTCACAAACTTTAGGTCACTGCTTTAGTACCCTAGTTTTGCACAAACTTTAGGCAGTCCTACTCGGGTCGCAGTAAAGTGATATGATGTCTTATTTTCACAAATACTCGTTCAATTCGGTCCTATATGTATTTATCTTCACCAAGAAGTAATATTCAATCACGCAAGCACTATCACATGAAAATGGCCAATGCCTTCAAGGAAAACATGTTTTTTACACAATTCAGTCTGAGCTGGAAGAAAGGACTTCTTGTTAGGCACGTTAAAATAACTTTGCATCCATCAACTTAAAAAGTGGCATGGAGTGGTCAAAACAATGGAAGCCATTTGCTCGAGGCTGCCCGATGGGAAGGCGTGATAATGCGTAAAATAGCAAAGAAGGAGAAACTAGTCATGAAGGAGCACAAACTAGTAATTATAAGCAAGGACAGTCCTCCCAATAAGGCTCATTGGAACGGCGTGGCATAGGAACTTTGATAACCACTAAAGCAATTGTCCCTTCCAGCCGAATAAATGATCAGGAGTAGCCAACAGGTCTTTCTCATGCCAAACGTGATAGCGAGTGCCTGTCCTGAATGCGCAGAAGAGAAGGCCACGCTGTTTTTTGCTTGATACTAATTATCCCAAAAGGCATAAATGTAGATTGCGGAAAAGCAGGGACAGAAGCAGGAATTATTACTAATTACAAAGAGTTGTAGTCTTTGGCTGGAAGAACCTCTAATCAGAGCATTTAAAATTAAAAGGAACGTTACTAGTGTTTTGTTTTAAGGCACTAGAATGGGAGGTTAGTTTACTATGCCATAATCTCGCGCGGCAAAGTGCCTCCAGATTAACGATAACAGCTTATCTTGGCGAGATCGGCGCTATTTTAGAGTGCGTGAATGAGATAAATCTTCTAGGAAAGTGGCACGCTGCTTTGCTTAAGTTGCTATTAGGCTCATTCAAATTCCGTTTTTGCTACAAAGAGATGAATGTAATCCCACAAGCGGTACTCACTGTTCTGTTACAACATCAACTTCGTTTCGACGACTGCATTGGGTAAGGAAACAAAAATACATCGTTCTAAGGCATTTTGTCATTCTATTATGACCCGATTAAAAATACATTCGAGGGAATGTAAATTCCAAGTGCCAGATGTAGCGAAAGAATTTTCACTTAGAAATATGTTATTTTATATAATAATGGTAAACACTAAGCTGTGGCCTGCGTTGACTTGGAAAAGGTGTATAAAAGGCAAAAAACATGAGTGCCAAAGTGGCGTACTTGCAAAGTAAGCTGCTTAATTATTCCATTTGGTGAGAGTATCGCCAATGCGTAGAACGGGAGCTTAAGACCTCATTTAAAATGATTTCTCCCTCCCATTGGTTGGGCAATCTCATCCAATGAGTACGTGGCGATTTTAAATGCTCACAATATAGCAAATACCTCATCAGAGATCGCTTAATCACTATGTTGCCCATCAACACCTCCCCTAGCCGAGGGAAACTGGTAGATAGAAATGAGGGAATCAGCGAAAGGGATTACCAGTCAGTCCGTATTCCTCGCCCATCTCTGCGGCATTGCCGGGTAACTAGATGCAAAGACTATCTTATTTTACACCCTAAAACAGTATTTTCACCAAAAAGATAGCCTATGTCTTATTTGGTATTTCCGATACGTCTAAAGACAGATTGTAACCCACCAAAGCCCTTCCATCAGAGCTCACATGACTCCAGGTGGAAAGATTGCGCCACCAGAATGAACGTGAAATTAGCCTAGCTTTTAAAGTCCTTAAAGTTTACTTATTATTGTCATACTTGCTTGTAAATTTATAAAAACGCCTTTTATAAAAGAACTAAACACTAAAACCAGCTGGTTAGATTCGCAAATACGAAATAATTCCATAGGTGACATTGACAGGCGCAGACTGAATGATTTCCCTGATAATAAAATGACTTTGAATGCAAAGCTTACTAAAATAACTAAGGAGACGTGACACCAAAGTAAATAATTCGTTGTGACCCTTCGGAAAGAGAAACGGGAATGAAGGGGGGATTTCTCAACCCTCACCTGCGAGACTGGATGTGTTGATTCGAGAACTAGCCTAAAAAGTCCCCACTCCCACTTTTTCTCATCCTCTGTCTGTGTTCTTTGGCGAGAATTTAATGCCTCTTTAGGCTTCTGGACGAGAAAAGTGGATTAGATCAAACTTTAAATTAATGAACTTGAGATATAAATAGTGCAGCAGCCCCTTCCTCTTTTTTGTAAACGCAGCATCCATCCAAAAGTGGCAAATTAGAGACGTAGTAACACTAAAATAAATAAGGAATTATCCACAGTTTGACCATTTTAAGCTAAGACTTGTGCATAAATAAAGGAAAAAAAACTGATGCTTTCAATTTTTACTGTGCCTTTTTAAACACCCATATCTCTGTAACGCTGGTTACGTATTCCACCAGTAAGTCATTAGCCATTCTATGTTATCTGGCTTTGCTTTTTAGTCGGTGCTCCAATGACTAGTGATTTAAGAACGAGACGGTCTGCACATAAACCATTCCACAAAATAGTTTTTATACTGGATGAAAATCTAGATCCAGTGGAAGTGCCGAGGGGAATCAGTGACGTTTTGGTCAGGCATCGTCTCTGTTGCACACAAATTCGATGGCTGTTACGATTGGCTCCCGGGTGCTTTTTTCATAGCACTGATTACTTTATAATGGTGGATGCGCCGGGGATGACACTTAAAAAAGGAGAGGGACTATCCAATAAGTTGGTGGATTGTTAAACTCTCGTTTTTGGTCACAGGGCCACTTAGATGTTAGGTCATTGTACCTTCTCCGGGTGAACTGGCCCTTGGGCCGCGCTAGTAGCCTGAATGTTTTCTTCATTTCAATAATACATTTTCAACCCAAGTAATGTCTTCATTCGTCTTCAGGTAAGTCTCAAGGCTCTGAATTAGGAGGTTATCAAGGCGAAATTTTTGAGTGAAGCATTTTAACGTAAAACCATTCAAACTAGATGGTGCCACTTGCAAAAGTATTGCCAACAGACCCACTTACCGTCGCTTAGGCCTTCCGCTCCATACTCGACTAATCTGCTAAAATCAGTAGACGGCAAGAAGTGGAGAAGTGGGTGATCCAAACTTACTACCAAGTCGAGGGATATAAATTTTACATCCACTGCGCTGACCCCACATCTTGACTGCAAGTCACGTCAGTCGAGGAAATGTCAAAAGTAACACCTAAAAGAAACAACTGAGACGCATGGAGAGACGGTAAAATGCTAATCCATGTAGCAATTGTCGATGCTGCCTAAAGAGGGTAGTTTGAAACTTGTTAACTCTGAAAAACAGAAGTAGGGAACCTACCAAAACTGTTGGATGGTTAACTTTAAATAGGTTACTATTAGCGACCACTGTTGCACTAATCATGTTGATAGCTATATGACATATGGATTTGGAACAAACTTTATAACGGCCCTGTTTTCCCTTCTTTTGTTACTACAGAATATGCGTTCTATGTCGGAGGCGGTAGTTCCAGTTCCATACTTCGTTACTTCGTTCACACCTTGACAAATTTTACCACATACTTCTCCATTTTCGTTGACGTTTTGTAACTAAAACTTTTGTTTGTACCACTAAGTGGTGGGCTATCGTCCATACATCCTATCGGACGAATGCTAGAGGATTTTGTGAATGAACTTTCCTCATAAATTTTGCATAACCTATTTTGCAGGAAACATTGAAGCATCCCAAGTTTGCATTTCCGTCCTTTGCGCTTGTGATGAGGATATGAGATAGCAGCATGTGTTTTCCTTGTCTTGTTGACAGTCGTGAGGCAGCTAAAAGGGACAAAACCTTGGCTTTTGTACAAACTATATCCGCGTTTATTGCAAATCTGTTAAAGCCATCACTTCAGTCTAACAAAGGATCATTTTTTGGGCTTTTTTCCCCTGAGACGGAATATCACAAGGTTCAAGGGAAAGAGAAATTCAGACGCTGCAATAAATTCCTAAATTTGCTTCGAAATCGCAATCTACTGACTCCATCGTCAAACTAACGATGTGTAACGGAGCTAATGTCTGGTCGCATGGGTTTTCGTCTCTGTGAAGTGACCGCCTTAAGTGAGGACTTGCTTTGTGGGAATTACTGTGCCAGGGATCTGCCTTGGAAATTAATTTGCTCCACGAGACTAAAGTCCTCTCGGGTAGATTATTTTACCAATAAGTTTATGATCTCGTCCTTGGCCCAACTTGACTCGTCCATAATTCACTCCACGCCGTCTGAGTTTTAGGCGAGTGTAGCCAAAAGGAAAGTCTTTGAAGCTCGCAACTGATTTGCAGTTTGGTCTTTGCGCCGATTTTAGTCATGAACTTAATCAGGAGCGAATATTTCCACCCTCTGCGGTAACAGTCACATCATACATGCCTTATTTGAAATGACTTCTAACGACTCCAGCAGAGAGTTCCCAGTTAATAGGTGAACCTGTTGATTAATGCTGTGGTGAGAAGAACCCGGACGGACTCAAAATAGCAGTAAACCATCATTTTACGGGCTTATATTTTGTACTCTGCCTCCACTTCTTCAGCGAAATTAGGCCTACAAGAACCAGGGACTTATAAAAAGCCGAGAAGAAAGGATAAGGGGATTGTTTTTCACCGGTCTACTGGAAAAACGTAGATTGGGCTACAAATCGTTCCTTCGTGGCTCTTAACATCTAAGTTCGAGCCTCGTGATTGGTGATTTCAGTCAGTTGCAGCAGCAAGGACGAGACCAGCCTTTGAGCTAGCCTTGACAATTAACATCTCGCCTTTAAAGTTTACCAAATCATGATCTTGCTTTGTCCACTTGAAGTCGGAGAAACGTCAAAATGTCATACCGACTTCCTTTGCAAAGAGCCCATTCAAATTACTACTTAACTGAATCTGCACAGCGGAATAACGCAGATAGAACAATTGTGAGACTCTATAAGAGTACCATGCAGCCGCTGACGTCCATATACATAAGCCGAGACAGGTGAAGGTTTAATAAACGAATCTTATCTCAACATACCCATGTCGGTGAATAGACAAATTGGTTAGGAGTCTACCTACAAAACTAGTTCTTGGTTGTTTGGTTTATTCTGACAGCAAAATTCATGCAAACGAGGATTGGAAGCTCACGTTAACTCCCAAACCTAGCCTCATAGTTCTCAAGGAGGCTGTTCAAATCTTAAGTCCTTTCAAGGAATTTAGATGTTCTCCTGCGCTCCAGCGCAACCACGCCATCAAAGCATTCTCATTTGACCATAAATTAGTTTCAAGGAAGGCCAAATCACCCTCCAAATTTTTAGCACATTAGTTTGCTCACATTCTCATCCATTAAGCGCCATCTTTTCCATGTTTTGCCTAAAGGCTAATTTGCTTAAGCCTACCCAAGGTTGGTGGATCAGTTTAAAGCAAGACTGAAGTAGGCATTACTTGCCCCTGATAACTTTTGCCAAACAGTAGCTATAGCATCGGTCAGTCCTCAGTTTTTATTTTCAAATACTTGGAAGCAACTCGGATTGGCGAAGAACGATAGCGCTGCTACTCCAACGCATGACATCGGAACTGGAGCCTGTTGCCTCCAACTGCCAATAATCCGTAATGAAGTAGGCGGGAGGTTTATTGCCCTACAGAGTGGAAAGTAACTTGCATAAATCACTGCCTCATCACCAACATGAATAGGTGCGCTTTCATTCAGTACAGGTGGGAGAACAAGGCAGCCTTCCTCCATCCCTCCGCCCCTCTCTCCCTGCAGAATGCATCAACAGGTGATGGAGTTTTGGGCAAATAAAAAGGTTATAAATTGCTATTTCCAAATTGTTATAAACTTACAGTTGACTGTTGCCAAGTGCCAACGTGTGCACATAGGTATATAGACTTTACTCCCAATTACTTTGTTAATGCTACTGCTTCTCACTTGTCAGAGGAAAGAAAGAGGGATGAAGTGTTTTCCGGCAGAATGTGCATTGGGTTGGTGGAGGTCTACACAAGGAGGTGAGGTTTTGCTTTTAGACTTATCTTCCATATTTGTTGCCGATTTTTATTTATTGGCTGGTGTGTATGGGAAGTAGGTACAAAGAGAGATGCCTTTGTAACACTTACCCCCTATTTATACTCATGTTTCATGACTTTGTGGTAGTCACAGAAGGCAGACGTCATTTTCGACCCTTTCTTTGGGGGTTGTTGAAGATTTTTCCCCATTCGCCTCACTAAAGTTTATCACCCAGCAGTAGAAACTGGAATGGACGTCCTTTAAGATTGGATTGGCTCTCCGCTGCCACTGTTGTACCGTCTCAAGACTTGCCTGAAGTTGAGAGAAGACGTACTACTAAGGCAGAACACATATTCCCGATGTACAGAAGGGCTGAGAGACCACTAGCATGGCCCAGAGGCCAGGCCGCTTAGCAAATGTACAAAGACGGAGCCCTAAGTGGCCGCGTGACCCAAATGAGGAGAGAAACAAGCAATCTGCGTGCGCATTTTAAAATAGTGTGGACTTAATCCAATAAGAGGTTGCTACCCAGTACTACCTCACTACCATTGGGTTCACACTGGCAATTTTAAATGCATGCTTTTTAGAGACTTGAATTTTTGTCGTTTCGTGGCGATTGCTTCCTTTTAGCAAGTAAAGCTTCCTGTTCTGCTCTAAAAGGAGCTTAAATAAATCTGGTCAGCTGGTTTTCATTTCATTTCAAATACCGGATGGAATACATTTCCTAGTCTTTACATGATTAAACCATAACATTTTTATTTGGGAAAAGAGCCCAAAATCCCCTTTTTGAGATTGTCAGGGTAAAGGGAGTTAACAATCATCATGATAGTACGGGCGTTCTGTTTCTCAACCTAGCTGTGTTTTGTAGTCCACTAAATCTCGCGGAGGACAAAGTAGTTGTTTTCGCCACTCCTGTGTGCCGAAAAAGGGGTGTCTTAGTTACAGCCGAATGTCACGTTTCTGGCGTGTCTGCACCAGGTGGTTTTTTTGGGGGAATTTCGGAACATGTATGCTTGAATTAGTTTAAAATTTTTTTTTGCCGGCTGCTTTAGGCTGGGATGTCTCCCTAGCTCGCGATGGTTGTGTGTAAATAGGCTGGGAATACTGGCGAAATACTTTCTAAAGGGGAATCATAAACTTCTCAGTTGAAATCTTCACGGAATAACATCGTATTTTAATCAAAACCTCTGGGTGCATTTTGAATATCTAAATGCACCTAGCGATTGTTTTTCAAGCGCCATTCCTGTATTTTTAAAGACCGGTTTCAATATCAGGGCAGTAAAGTTAGTTGCATGCTTTTGTAACCTCAGGACTCCCGGAAGTGCTGCAGGATACCGGAGTAGCCGAAAGTTAAAACAAAGTGTTACCTAGTTCCTTCTCTTTTAAGCAGCGTCTTCGACAATGTCCTTAACCAACATCCCTCCTCGGCTGTCGGAGAAAAATAGGAAAATAGGAAAATAGCCACTAGCCAACGGCACCAGTCATCGCCTTTTCATGCAATTAAGAAGGCATCAAAATGGAACGTCACTGACCCCTCTTGACAATCCTCCTGGGTTAAGAGTTTTTTCCTGCTTGGGACCACCTCCTATGTCCATCGCTAGTAGCGAGAACACTAGTTTAAAAGAAGTCAACAGAGCGTAAAACTTTAAGTAGTTTCGAAAAAATAAACCTTAGCTTCTGTCCTTCCTTGCCTCTGTTCTCCCTTCATTCCTTTCCGACCATTTCGTCTGGGTTTTATCCAGCTGATAGAAAGGCGTGAGAGGTATCACAAGTTAAACTTCATTGATATCTACATTTAGGCAACGTATACAGTTCCTTAACGAACTTTTTTAGATGGTCTACAGCTGGTGTTGCTTCATTTGTTAATAGCTTGCCTATGGAACACGGAACTGGAGTACCTGCAGAAGGCTGACGACATTTTCAGCCCTTCTCTTAGTTGTCTTCAAAGACTCCCCATCCGCAGCCCATGCGCTGCTCTTCCAGACTTCCAGAAGGGCTGAGGGATACTAAAGTGGTCAGAATGCCATACCGCCTAGTAGAAGTACAAAAGCAGAGCTTTAATTCCCTAAAATTAAAACTATGGGTTAAAAAAATAATCAAGGCTTTATACTCTCGTTAATATTGAACCCAATCATGGAGTGAATAAACTAGGCCAGGAGGGTTCCTAACATACTACTTACTGCATAAAAGGAAATGGATTATATCAAGCCGCAGCATTACCTCCGACTGGGTATATAGAGGGGAAACTCCAGATCTACCTATTTTAATCAAGTTTGTTTATTCATTAATAGCATTAAGATGGCACTTAATTTTAAATGAATTTTATATTGAAATTTTCGCAATCAATCTCATTTTTACCTGGTAGCTCGCATGGTAATATATCTGGACCACTTTTTTCACTAACACCGAGGCGAATTCAGCATTTACAGTTGCGACGGAAACTCTATGAGGAAAAGCGGGTGGTTGGCCTCCAGTAATGGAAAGTGAAGTTGCCCATCACTAGTGCAGGTTGTAAGTAATTGAGGCAGGAGCGATAAACAGGTAATTTGCAGTAGCGTAGGCCACTAATGCTCCCAGTACGTTTCCCTCCATCTACGTGTCATTTGACGAGCTCGTTGATATCCACCACCGATAAAAGTGAGCAAATCACTCTCAATTAGAGAGACCATCATTGCATTCCCTTTCCCATCACGTAATCAACAACGAGGGTGATAACGACAACGAGGAGTCACATAACACGAATTATTTAAATCTTCGTGCAATAAGGTATACTTGTTATTCGGATTTGCTAAAGCACGATTGTGAAGAGATGGAGAAGTACGTCATACTGACTAAAGTCAGGCTGCAACGAAGGTGGAACTACAAGGCAACACAGAGGAGTGCCCCCTGTGCCCATCTGTGGTGTTTTACTGTCTGTTTCGGAGTAACTTGGACTACGTGGCCTCTTCATTCCCCTCAGGTTGTACACCTTTTGACGGTGTAACCCACGACTCTTCACTGTGTTAATGACGAGACATTTTTCACACTGCTCTGGCTTACAAAGCCCTCCGTAAAGGCTTCCAGAGATACAGTTAAGTGGGAAGTGCTCTCTAAGACTAGCATTATGCCTTGATTAAGTTACTGCCATGTCTACCGTCATGCACCACAGATTTCATCCAAGTCGCAACCTTTTGCACCCAACTCTATTCCCATGTTATTTTGGTGTTCGAAAAATAAACCATATTTCGCTTTAGAAGCAGGCGTTGAAGCACAAACATTCTACCCTTGTCCGCCTCTTTGAGAAGCTTTTGTCTAAGAAGCTCAGTGAGTGAAACTGATACACACTCGTTGCCACTATCTCGACCGTTCCAGTCGAAGAATTTTATTGTTCTGCAAAAGTTACATTTTTGAGAATTAAAAAACCACTTGTAGGTATCCTTAGTGCAAAAACTTTCTACATCCATCTACCCTTAACAGCAACACAAACCAGGCGGCTTGTAGCAGACGTGTTGAGACGGTAAAATGAGCCATTAAGTGACTGCAGGAATGGTCGGTCCTTTGGAGTCATCTGCTGATATTCGTATCAGTAAGCACCTATAAGTAAAAATAAAAGTTTACCTTCACTCGTGCTATGTATTATAAGCCTTTAGGCCCCTTTTAGGCAATTCCAGTGAGTCTTTTATGGCAGGAATATCTAAAAGGCAACTCATATTAATAAAACCGGGCGCTCAGGGAAAAATTATTATCTATCGCATCGATGCATCAAATATATCACCACCGGAGAGAAATATCAGATTGTTGTCAATTATAGAAAGGAGTTTTATTGTAGCCATCAATAGGAGCTGAAATTGGGAACGACAGAGAAATGCGGAAGACCATTGAGCTTTTATCAAGCAGTGAATATCAAATGGTCTTAATGGCTAAAAAACAGCATTGTTGTACAATAAGATGCAACCCTAGAATAAAGTTGACTCTTGCTTTGACTTTTGCAGAAAAAATGTCGGAAACTCAGTTTTTTATGAGTTTGGATCCAAAAAGGCCACTTGGCTAGTGCTCTTGGTCATTTACTAAGTAGCTCTACCATAGTACAAATGCCTCTCTTAAAGCCATAAATGTCAACTTCACTTCATCGAAGTGAAGAGAGAAGGCAAATGAGTATCTTAGGGAAGTACTGAATTACTTCCGGCCACGGCTGATGGAGGAAAAAAAAACATTAGATTGACAACTGATAACACCTTTGAGCACGCATGTGACAAGTACCCCACCAAATTAGGAAGGCACCCCACGAGGGCTTGCTTTCGTAGAGCGGCGGGGAAAGAGCCTGCATCTTTGTATTAAGAAACGGGAAGAAGCTGCACCCGAGCAACTCAAATTATTCCTAACAGATGGCGTTAAGCTGGCATTCTGCTCCCACACCTACGAAATGCGAGCTCTCCGTCCGTCTGTGTACTTGCAGTTTAGCTGTATTTACCCACACACTAATAGAACTGCTGGTCGACAGTTCAACGATGTATCCAGGTTGGGTTGCTTGGATACCCTTGCAACTCTTGAAGAAGTGCTTACTTATAGAGGCAAGATTGACAATTTCAACAATTTCGACAATTTCAACCTGTTTCTAGGCTGCTTCCCAGTTTACACACTCACCATCAATTTAGCATATGTATACTGCAGCCTATCCCCTAATTGCAGGAGGTGAGTTTCTTCTGCTATTTTTCTTCTCATGCCCAGGATAATTGTCCAGTTCCCAGGAGATGGACAAGTACTTTTAGTGCAAATAACTTGCCTACACGGAAAAAATAACCCGGCGACCACTTCATTGCTACCTCGTCTGCAAAATCAACCCCAGAATAAAGCAGAACCTTTTAAATCCCTGTACTTTTATTACATAAAAGATCCTAACTAAAGAAGGTTTGGTGGATCGTGTTGATAGCACGAGAGCGTGGCGGTGAACGAACTGTCAGAGGCAGATGTTCCAGACTGCAAATCTGTCAGGCACCCTGTTGCCTCTGATTTTATTAAGGCACAGTCTTTGCAATCAGCGCAATTTTATGCTAAAAAAGAAAAACTTTTTAGCTTTACACATCACTAAAAGGGAGCAAGCATCGCCGCCGGTTAAGAGAGACAAGGGGAAACAAAAAAACGTTTTTTGGGCTTCGATCTAAATAGAGCAGTTTTGCCTATTTCATCGTGTTTTCTGAGACCCTGCCCGAGTTTGCTAGTTAAAAGAATTATTAACTGTTAGGAAAATTCAAATGTCCGAAGGTTTAATTTTTAGAGACGTATATAATGGAGGAAAAATCAACTTTTCGATTAATAAAGTTTATAACTGTTGTTTGTTGGGTGGCAATTAGAATACATTTTGCAAGGAATGCTTCTTTAAATAGCCTTAACCCTCATAGAGTGAGTTTGATAACCCAGTTTTTTTGGGGGGAAATAACTACTTTCTTTTCCTAGCAATTTAAGTTAGCCTTGAAGGAAGAGACCCGTTTTAACCAATGAAAATGCAGCTTTATGCGAAGTGGACTCTTAATAAGCATTTCCTAATTCTTAAAGCTGCCAATCAATTACATTTGCTACTTTTAAAAACTGACGCTTCTGCATATTTAGAATTAGACAAAATTAAATGGCCATGCTCTGTAAATTGGAAACGCATAGTAGTAAGTTTCATCGAAATTTAATCTATTTAGAGTCTACTAGCTAATCTAAGAGCTGGGTTGTTTGAAGCCTAATGACCACTCTTTTGTTTTTTAAGCTCTGTCTTGGTTTCGCAGGGATTTAAGGCTCTGCCTCTGCACTTCCTCTGGGTGGCATGGCCTCCGCACCATGCCGGTGGCTCCCAGCCATGCCCCTTGGATGTCGTTTTTACACATTCGGCCCTAGTATTACATCGTCTCTCAACTTTAGGGAAGCCGCGCAGCGCTGCATTAGTGGCAGCGAAAAACGAATCCGATTATAAAGGACGCCTATCTCGATTTCTACCGCTGAGTGATGTCTCAATAGAGTGGAAGAGGTGCAAATGGTGCGGGTGAGGAGAATCCGTTAAGTCCTCCAACAGAAGGGCTGAAAATGACGTCTACCCTAGTCAGCTACGCCAGTTTTGTCGTCTGCAGGAAAGCTGTTGACAATTAATATGACACTGGCCATTACCTATGTGAAAAGCTCATTACAGAACTGTCTACGATACCTGTATGAAGATGTCAATGAAGCGAACTCGCGACACCTCCCCCACCTCTCTACTAGTTGGATGGCACCCGGATAGATACAATGTTTAGCACGGAATGGTAAATATAATGGCAGGGAGGAGAAGACATGAATTGCTATTTGGGCAAAACTTTTTTAAACCCCTTTGCTTTTTAATGAATCTGCTTTTGTGCCAGTATTCTTTCGACCAGCTGCAGACATATGTGATGCCCTTTACATTAACTGCTACCCAGATACAGTTCCCAGTCGGGACAAAACTGTGGACGCAGTGGGATTGCCAAGGGGATCATTGCCGTTGCAGTCTGATGCCTTCTCAACCGTATGGAAAGTCGATGACTGGCGCGGTTGGTCCGTGGGTATTTGTCTTTACATCACCGGGCTTCATTGTGATGGTTGACGCGAGAGGTTAAACTGGGGGAGCGCCGGGGGCGATGTCCGAGAAGCAAGGGAAACTGTGTTGCGCGGGCACTTAAGGCTCCGCCTTTGTTACTTCTGTACGTCTACGATAAATATTCTACCCAAATATCAGGTCATCTTTAGTCTTTAGGAAGGTCTCAAGGGCGCTAAAAATACTGACAGGCAAATAAGCACCTACGCTCATTATAAACTAAAAATTATGTATTTAAACAAGCAAAATCAGTAGTTATCAGTAGAACAGTTCACTTTTCCATGAGGATGTAAGTACGTAAACGCACATTTACTGGTGCTAATGAGCTACCCATAGATGCAAAATTAACTTTCCTCAGCTTCTGCTCTGCCGTTTCAGGTAGAAGTTTAGCATAATATAGAGAGGAGGATTTCACGCCCATATTTTTGCATTAATATCCCCCTCATAAACTGGATAAAACCACCTCCACCACCACCCGCCATAGTCAATGTGCCTCCACGTTTCCCTCAAAGGTCTGCTTTCACTGTTGCCATGGCATCTTTACCACATTCGCAACCAAGGTCTCAGGGGAAAATCAAAATGACAACTTTTTTTCTACTTTTTTCTTTAACTCCCATCCATTTCACCTCCTTTCCATTAAGTGTCCTGCATGTGTGTGATGCGCTGGCTTAGGCAGAAAAGTGGAGAAGCCAAGGCGATGAGGTGCTGTTAGTGGAAAGGTTAATGGAAGTTATAAAGGAGACTCTCCCATTGTATCCAAGCGTGCTGTCAACCCTCCCGAGAAAAACCTTGAATGCAATACCTTAATAAGGTTAAATTAAGAGATCTAGAGGGCCAAGTGTCAATGGTGATAGGAGGACTCTTGCCTTACAGATGTCGTATGAGAGGGCGCAGTCTTACAGAAGTTTGCAAGACCTTTAAGGAAATTTTCTCGTTCCAGGGCTTTGCAATCATTTTAGCTGTCTGACTGCGAATTGCCGCAAAATGTGAGAGAAGACGTTATAACCCTGCTTGATCATCCTTACCAATTTCCCATACCTGTTGGACGACTTTAATGCTTGCGATTGCGTCCCTGTCTAGAGAAAAAGAGTACTTTGGGTAGACACCCAGTGTTTTTTATTTGTTGTAAGTGGGAAAGGTCCGGCGACACTTAAGAGGCCTGCAATTATAAAGTCGTTCTACTTGGCGGCATGGGTCGCAAAAGCAACGCTTTTTCGCTATGAGTTGAGTAAAGCATGAAATACTTAAGCTTTTAATGTTTTTTAATTTAACAGACGAAAGGGCCATTTATTTCCTATTGATCCATATTCAGCATCACTGATATAACTCTCACGTCATTTCGAAAACTCGGGATCCACCAGCAGTAATGTGGTAAGAATGATGCTTTGCCAGGATGTTTTAGTCTAATATGATCAGCAGCGATGAAGATTAAAAGCCGTTAGTGTCAAAAATAATAAGAATTTAAAAGAATCGACACCAACTCCTCGGATGGGACATGCAACACCCCAAAATATTCCTGAAGACAATAAAAGATGCTGGCATTCAGAAAGAAGTGGGGTCACTTGTACGACCCGGAGATTAGGCCACCCGTTCGTGACATAACTGTGGACTCCCTAAGTGGTCCTAATAATAAAACCAAAAGTTAATCAGCCAGCGCATTGCTTAGCCTCTCTCCTCTCTTGAGCGTCGCCCCTTTGGCGCTTCTCTTGGTCAACCCCCCAAATCAACCATCACAACGCTATCGGAGCTGTTAGGGTAAATACCAACGAGCCAATTGTGCCATTCGTTGAATTTCCACGCAACTAAGAAGATACTTTATCACAACTGGATCTGGAGTTTCATCCAGTATAAGAGCCGTACAGGAGAATGGAAAAATGTGCCGGCCGTCACGCGTGGCTACTGTTAGTTGTAGGAATGCTGACCTAAAAGTAGAGTCGTGTAACAAGGGATAGGATTTGAATTAGCTCCATGGAAGTACGATTTCTCTTCTTTTCCTCATTTTCCCTTTTCTTCCCACTCTAGAGCTGCCCGGTCATATCTATCTGTGTTCTATCTAGCCAGTGAAGAAGCGGAGGAGGCATTGTAATTTCGAGTCATTGACATCTTTATTGAGGTAGCTCAGACAGCGAAGTAACCAACTTATCCAGATGATTCACGTCCATGGCTAGTGTCATTTCGGTTGCTAATTGCATTCCTGTGGAAAACAGGACTGGGGTGGCTGTCGAAGTTAGATGTCATTTTCAGACCTTCTATTAGGAATCGCCACAGACTCTCCCATTCTAGGCTTGTGTACTCCTTCCGCCATCCAGGGTATATCGTCCAGCGGTAGACTAGGATAGCTGCCCTTTAAGATAGGGTCCACTTCCCACTGCCACCAATGTAACACCCCGAGACTTCTTTGAAGGCAGATTATGTTTTGCTGACGTGTAGAAGGCATTGGATTACTGGCACTACCCGAAGGTCAGACCAGTCCGCGGTGATGCAATGGCGAAGCGCCTTACTGGTCCCTTTACCGAAACCGAGAGTCAAACCATCAATTACCCTACTACAAGTCTGGCGTTAGCAAAGATTTATCACTGAAATATTTTTTTAGCCTTTGATGTGAAGATGATCAAATAAGTATAACATGGTTAAAATAAAACTATTTTCCCACTTCTTTTTTTACATTTACTTGAAATCATATCTGCTTCGAGTTCTCGATTACTACCTGTGATATTGTAGTGTTTATACTATTGAAAGCATGATTCAATGCAAGAGGTCGTTTTCCTGCATCCATCAGCTACTTTAGTTAGGGTTACCAGTCTGTACATCTTCTGTGGCCCCAAACCGCATGCGGCATTGTTTGGATCTATTGGGTATTCGCCAACATGACAGTGCGAAATAAAATTTCTTCCTACCATCGAAATGCTGAGACAGCAAAGAAACGTTCCTCAGCGGAGAATATAAATAATTTAACAGACCAAAGTTTGCATCAAAACACAAGAGCGAAGTCTAATCCCCTTGAGCCAAAGGCTGTCAAATTTCTGTCTCCAACAGACCCAATGTAAGGGCTTTATCTTTCCACACCTTTTCCCATCTACCTATCCAAGTTTCATGTGTGAAACAAATTCCCTTTGACATGTCATCCATACTTCGTCAGGAATTAGTTGCACTTCCGCAGGCTGAAAAAGTTACTGTTTTCCACCCTCAAGTGTATTTTGACATGGCGAGAGGTAAGCAAAGAATGGGTCTCTCAATTTGTAGAAGAAACGGAATTTGTCTGAGACGAAGGGTAGGAATAAGCTTGAGTTTGAGGTGCATGAGACTAACTGGGGAAAAAAGTACAAATCTTTCAGTAACTACTGTCTTGAGGCATTAAGTAGTACATTGGAAAACAAGCATTTTACTGGGATGTGAATCACTTCTCGTAGATTTACTAAGTAACTGTGCCCCAAATTAGCAAAACTGAGCATCGTATCTAGGCCCAAATAAAATTTTATTCTAAAATTACCTTTGCATCGTCCGTCAACGGATAATCGGTGGTAGTTTGCCCGTTGTTTCTCAATCCGGTGCCGTTCCCAACGAATTGGCCGCAACATGCGTGGACCGCAAGCGCATGTCCGCCGTGACTAGTCAGCTTTAAACGATACAAAGAATCTAGGCAACACAAGAAAATACGAGAATAAGGAGTGTGACCCAGAGTTAGGCTGTACACCTTGAACTGTTTAAGCACTTTTGTGGTACTCGCCCGCTTGGCTTGAGGGAGAAAATTTGGAGGGCAGAATGGGAAGGCGTAGCATGAAACCTGCACAAACCGCCCCCCTATTCTGGGCGGTCAGGCAGTCCACATTAAATTTGCTGCCTATTTCTGACCGCTTTTAATTCTGAATACATTAAACGACCAACTTACCTTGAGGTCTGGATCATTAGCCTAAATATTTGCCTCCAAACAAGTCGCTTTTATTCCATCAAGTGCTAACGTGCCAAACTTATTAAGGGGATGGGGAGGTTAACTAAAAGAATTACTTGCGTCCGAACTTGTACTATGGGTCAGATCGGAGCCATATTTGTACATTAGGTACTCCCATTATGACTACTTGGCGATCGCAAAACGCCGATCCGGTGGATATAACTAGGGAGGTATTTTAATTGCACTTTGATCCTTTTCGCATAAAACAGATTACAAGGAAGGCGACTCTATCAATCCAAGTGACAAAAATTTAGATACACTTGTTATCAATCTTAGGTGATGTTTAGCATATTTGAGTGTCACCCAGGTTGAGGTGAGTTTCTGTCTGGTTGAATTAAGACAAATGTAGGCGACTGCTGAATAAATTAAAGGGAAGCATCATCCAAAATCCAAAAAATCATCAGTCATTACAGTCAGCGATTCAAAACCCTTAATGTAAGGTTGGTAAATAAAAAGGGATTAAATAATTTGTGCTTGTGAAGTTCAACTATCTCTTGGTATCTATAAGCCGGTCACCTTTGAAATATTTCAGAATTACAAGAAGATTGTGGAAGACGTATCCTAATTAAACTGTATTTTGCTTTGTTCTAAGCTTTGCTATTGATATGTTCTTTAAAGTCATCCTAAGGACATGTAAAAGTAGAATTGGATCTTAAAATTCTAATCGGTGATTTAGCTTAAGATTCAAATCCACCTCAATCGACCTCCTTGTCAATAAATTTTATTTTGACTTTACCGATGATACTAAGAAGCTACTGGCTAAATAGTGTTCACCTCAGACAAAGCAGCAAATATTACCGCCTGTGGCAAATGCTATAAGATCAAACTTAAAATCGTTTAAGTTATGCATTTCCGTCTCTGTGAATATCGGGAAGAACTTCCCACGATTCGTTGCCACTTTCCGTGCATTCGGTGAAAGTGTTATAAAGTTGGTGCTAATCGCTAGAAAAATCTAGCAAACAGAGGTCACGATGAAGCCACAAATACATAAATGTCGACCATATATTTTAGAAGGCTGACTACCGACGAAAAATTGGTTTTTCTCCAAGCCTCAAGGGCTCAATATTGTGCCACTACTGCTATTTATGCTTCACATAGAATAAAACGTAAAATTTTAAAGTGGTTTAATCACAAAGTCTCTTAGTATTTTGTACTTAAAAAATGCAGATCCGCGTTTTATTAGATCACAAATTTGAATTCTGCTGCACACAAGTGCCAGTAAGGTCATTGCAGAGTTGAGGCGCGTAAACAGAATTAGAATAGGAATGAAGTTGTGGGTATAGACAGCTCGAGAAATGATAGCCAAGATGGATGGCATAAGACGAGACTTGTTGAAATTGATTGACGAATGGAATTCAAGCCGTCTCGATCTTTTTCACTTGTCAAAACCAAACGAGGTTTATATTTTTTCACTCTTGTGATTATGCTCTAGTATCTGGAGTTTATGGGTGTTATGCGGTTTTTCTTCCAAAACGATGACATGAAGTTTCAAACAAAATGTTTAAGGGTGTCTAGCACTATGAAGACGTGCGAATTGATTCCTCTGTTGATCGAGAAGTTTTATTTGGAATCCATCCATTTGGATCCTGGAAAGTGTGGACTCTATGAGCATTTTACACATTCTGGTATGTATTTACTTGAGTGATATTTTTTAGAAAGAATGTTGGGTTTTGACGAGTATCCTTTGCTTGTCCAACTAAACTGGTCGAAACTCGGTCAGGAAGGGAAATTTATTTTGAAAATTACCGCTAGCGGCCTGGTAAGTTGCGTGTACTTCATGGTGACTGCTTCCCGAAATATGCATAAGTCGTCTTTGAGACTTTTAGTGGTGTACAGCAATTGTTGTATCTTTAGCAATGTTTATTTGTTAATAGGTGAATCCAAAAACTGATGCCCAACTAAATGAAACAAAGTCGAACGATCAGTTGAAAAAGAGTGTAAAAAAGTCGGCAAAAAAGCCATCAAAGAATAGTACTGGCTTTGATGGTTTATTTTGTGGTCGTGGCATTGAATATGACGAGAATGAGAACATAACGAGTGGCTGTGGGCCCCGGATACGAAAGCACGATACTGTTGAAAATAATAGGATATTGGAGGACGATCTCCACTCCGAGAGTCGATGCCATTCTCCTCCTAATAGTACCTTCACCAGAATGACTTCTGATCCCGAGGTTCTTATGCAAAAAACGCGTCAGCAAGTTCTGAGCTCAAAACTTTCTCAGTTTGCAGGCAAAGGATCTGATGATATCGGCAAGTTGAAGTCTTCATGTGCTTTATGTTACTCGATGCTTCTCGGTAGGTGGGACTTTAAAGATATATGGTGAACTGGTTGATCCGAGTGTGCCGTATAAAACACTGCTACTCTCGACAAGGGATTCTGTGTCTCACGTCATTCGCCGGGCATTGGACAAGTATGGGCTTGAATTTGCTGATCCCGCTGCATACTGCCTGATTATGCGAACCCGCTATGCCAATGAAATTCCCGGAATGCAAGCCTATGAGGAGATTTTACAGGATGATTTCTGTCCGTTGAAACTTCTACTTGCCCCGGAGTCCTCGCCTGAAGGAATAATAACGACGTTTGAGGTTTGTATCATCTACTGCTTTATTAGCTAAAAATATTCAGCTTCGTCCGAGACTGACTCGAATTGACAGACAGCGGAATGGGACAACAAATGGACAAACTATCTCTTCTCCGGCGCTCATTCGTCTGCCTTATCATCAAAATAATCGCAAGGCTTCTCAAAATACTTATCGTACATTTACCAATGGGCAACATAATTCTTTCGCTTGCCTTGTGGAAGTGTGTTCGGAGGGAAATGACAGTCGCAAACCAGCAATTTATCCACTCCCTGTGCATTTGGGAGAGGTGAGGCAGCTTTATCAATCATTCCCTTGTTTTGGTTGTTGACTTGAGCAGTCGCGGCTGTGGCTTTGTGTAGGCTTTGTGGCATTAATTCGGGGCCTATAAGCCAATCACTTTAGGAGCTGATTGTTATGGTAGCAATTGAGCACAGTAACCTGTGAGACGAATTCTGTCTTTGGGTACTTTTCCGTAGTTTTGCGCTCACATACTCGCTCCCTTGCATTCCTTGTGTTTGCGTCCTGGCGCACACATTCACTGTGGTAGAGCTGCTTTGATGCAATTGGTCTCTCCGCTACTTCCGCGTCCATTTGCATAAGGGAATTTGAAGCCAAAAATTTACGCGCACTTCAAGCACACTCAACACAAACTGGTGAGTATACGGCCGTTACGGCAGTTCTATTCATTTTTATTAGTGCTTACCGCAAAGGAAGGGATTTCCTGTGTTATCTTCCTTACCTACTGTTCCATTGTCAACAACCTCTGATCTACACAAGTCGTTGCAATTTTAAAAAACCTTTATAGAATATGATCATGACTATGGTAGGAATGTCAGCTCTTTCTTTTTTCTTTATTGGTCTGACATCTTGTCCACAACTTTTAATGCTCCATTACATACCTATGACTCCGTAGCATCATCCCGCTTATTTATCAGGAAGCCTTTTGGACGAAATTCAAACTCGGAACACAATCTGCCTTAGTTAAAAACAAAAATCCACTCAACAGTACCTTGTTTCCTATGCAACAAGCAACTAGACCATCGAGGATGAAACTAATTCTACCACAAAGGGGACATGACCTGTAGTTTCCCCCATCGCTTCATGGTCCGAAGAAAAACTAATAACAAGTTGTCTGAAGCCAGTTTCGGCTGTTTTCGTCTTATCGGTTTCCTAGCATGGCTAGTAGCTGAAATTACTCTTCCCTCTTATAGTGTCCAAAAACCCTTGAAAAGGGGGAAGTGGGTGCTTCGCTGCGACCTCACAGTGAGATTTAGTTATTTTATGCACCAGGCCAGTAGAATAAGGCGCCTTTGAAATCTGAACTTATGTATTTTAATGATCTGTTGCTGGAGTTATTATTTACCACTCTTATTTCTGTCCGTGACTGTCGTCTTTTCATTATGAAGGAGTTTTTGATCAAATTGATACGAAATATGATGTGCCTCCATTCACTTTTCCCACCCATTAGTACTAGCTCATGAGAATTTCGGCTCTTTGTCTAACTAATTGGCAGGATGGTAAGAGTGGCAGCAAAATCGCTGCTGTCTTGGTGCGTCGCAGCGCATATTTTGTTGGCTTTCTTGTTACGCAATATCCGCGGCTTTCTCCTCCATACTGCTGCCTCAGTCCGACAACTCATTCGTATTCTTAATTTGCATTCCGTGGTTCACATGACAACGCAACGTTACTATCTCATTCTTATGACATCTTCTGTGTGATCTGAATTTAGATGACAAGTTCATCGGCACCTGCTTTGCGGCATCCCTAATGTTGAGACTAAATGCCCTGACCGATTTCAAACCGGTACGCACGCGCACGTACCCATTTCTCTGTGCTTAATATGACACCTCTGACACTTGGCAATTCAGCGCTGCCAATTTCAAAAGCCTTAGTGGGCCTAAAAAGTGTCCACTGAACGTCGAAACTACTTTTTCTACTATTGGGCGTCGCCCAGTGGAGTGTGACTCATGCCCGACTCCCGCTCCGCGATTCATTTGTTCATGTTTAATGCGATTTTCCCCCTGAGACCCTCGAATAATACATGTTTATTGGCGGCCTATTGTTGGCTTACCACTTTGCGAAGAGGCGTGCACATTCACCCTTATTACCGAATTCCATTCCACCGCTACTCCATGCTTACTTAGCACGATGACCTTCCGTCCAGAGGGCGTCAACCCAGCGCATCCAGATGAGTCATTGTGAGTCGCAACTCAACAACCATGCCTTTCGCGCCTCTGCCCTCAGACTCCCTTAAGCTAACGCCTCTCAGGCTATCGCTCCTTTTTGCCCTCATATAAGTCACTTGACCGACATTCAATTAGGCCTTCAAGTAACTCGGTTTACCTGACTCTGACATAACACCTGTGGTGCAGCTGGTTGTTGACCTCGTAGGCAAGCTATGCACACCGGTGCAGAGATCCGTCGCCTAGTGAAATTGTAGCCTAAATTGCCTAGCTGTCGTGGCCTTTGGCCTCATAATGGTGGGTGCATATGTAAGCCGCAGATTAACGGTTATGTCATCGCCTTTCTAAGATGTTGTGACCGATTTTACGCGCGCTCTTATAACGCCTTCACATGATCCTGGCCAGTCATGATCCCAAATACGATGAAACAATAATGCCGGAGGTTTTCTTCAAGAGTCTCTCTTCTCATCACTTTTGCATCAATTCCTCAATTGCAAGTGGAGAAACTAAGGCGAATCGGGAGATCATGGGTAGTTTTATCCATTTGTACGGCGATGGATCAGCATAGAATCTGTGACACTTCCTCACTGCAGTTAAACACCTGTCAGTACAAATCTGGTCATATATCACTAAGAACTAGATGAATCTGGAATAATTTTGAGTCTTCCGAACTTGGTTTTGCAAAGTTTTCATATAGTCTCAGATTTGTAAGCACGGAGCAACGTGTGTGTGTGGTCGGCTGTCTACTTCTTGACGGTGGTGCGCATTCTCCAACTGCCTTTACTGGATTTTATGCATCACTCATTCTGGACCTTTGATGCCCATGCAATTCCTCTGCTGCACTGACCAAATATACACCGTTTCACCGGTGTCTTAATCTCCTATTCTCACAGCTCACCCACAAGGTCAATGTGAGGGGTGACTGGACTATCAAATTGAAAAGCCATACCATCCATTATTTGAGTCCTTTCTGTTCCAGACCGCATCGCTCTTCCTTAAAACATTTTGGCAAATCACAATTTGAGGTCTTTCGATCAGTACTGAAGTTAACGCGGAGATAGACACGCACATGCTTATCTAGACAACGGCGCGAATTTTGGCAGATATCAAATCCTGTTAAAAGGCTATTAACACCCGCCTCGGGCTATAGATTTTGGGGGGCTGTAACATGTTGATAACTGCTTCCAACTGGGAGGTCTCCTTAGTGGACTTTAACGTGCGTTTTGACAGTTGCCAAAACGATGAAATAGATCGCAATAGTAACAACTTCAAAGTATCAATGTTTGGGTATCAATTTACCTCGGGTGGGGCCTAGAGGTGGTGGTCATACAACGCCACTCTCTCCACACAGAAATTCAAGCAGACAGTGAGGTATCACCCTTGAAGTAACCGCGTTTAGCGTACTTTTCTCAACCTTTGATAACTTTTTTACTCAACTTTATTGTCGCAACCGTTTAAAGCCTCAGTATTATTTCTCCACAGAGAATGTATATTTGCTTGTATATGCGTATTCTCGGTTCAGGTGTGTGTGGGCACCTCCCTCCAGCCCTCGACCAAGTTTCCGCTTCTCGTAACCCTCCCAGTGAACGTCCATCCTGAAGTTATTCCCTTCCACGTGGTTATCTGGCAGCCACAGGAGACCACTACCACCAGTCACACCTCATCTCGCTGCTCCTCCCGCGATTGGCTCGCCTGTGCTCCTGTGGCCCACGAGACTCTTGCGCCCGTCCTCGTCAACGGTCGCCTGCTCACCCTTCCTCCATTCCGACCCTTCAGCTCCGACCGCAAACTCCGCCTGGACCAACAACCCACCTTGGCCGCCCATTGGCTTGCTCCCGGTGACGTCATCCAATTGGGATCCGGCGGTTGCAGTCGGTTTCGCATCTGGCCCGGCCCAAGTCCTCCACCAACTCCTAAGCCTGCATCTCTTTTATCCACCACTGGTGCTACTGGGCGCCAAACTATTGTAAACAATAAGTTATCAGTAAGCTTTCGGAAGACTTGATCTACTATGGAGGGCTTAAAAATACTCCAAACTCCTCGACCAGAATAGCTAGACGTCAAAATCAGCATCAATCCCACATGCTGAAAAGTGGTAACCTTGACTTGTTCAGGAACTGCCATAGCGGGCAGTAGATGCGTTGAAAAACACACCAAATCCGCACCGATATGATAAAATCAAGTTGTGCAGCTTTACGCCTAATGAATATTAGTGAAAATTTGTCCATTGGTCAAATTTTGAAAAGAGAAGAGGAGGAATTTAGTTCCTTCCTTTCCCTTTCTGTTCTTGCAGGTATCAACTCCCACCAGTGGTCGAAATAAGTGTCAGCCAGGTGGAGTAAAAACGCAGACACCTCAGTTGCACCGGCGGCATCAATCACATCAGCACCACTCTCACTACCAGACGCACCACAACAGCCGTCCGACCTCCATGGAGTCTACAAAATCGGATCTCTCGGACACCACTACTAGTAGTAGTCTTCCCCTCTCACCTACTTCACCATCTACAGTAGAGATGGAGCCCACGAAGACGCCTCGGGAGTCCCTACTCACCCCTAGTCCCTCCTGTCGCACTCCCTCGTTTGTAGCAAGTGAGGTGGTCGGAATTTCTGTGCGTAGAGTCTGGTGGTGGCCTGGTAGTTTCCCATGGTTACAGAGGCAAAGAGATGAGAAATTAAACCAAATCCTTTCATCTCAGCGCTTAAGTAGAAAACGCATGATGGGATGTGTTTTGGGGAGCTTCTTGCATCCATTTCATTTTAAGGTATGGGTTTTCCAAGTGCATCAAACCAATTAGAAAGCCAGTTCCTGTACGAATTCAATATTTTGACCCTCGGTAGCAGTTGAAATGACGGGAGAACCGATATTCATGAATCTGTCCGCCTACTAAGTAATCGTCTGAGTAGGTGGGCAATACACTAGATTTGGCGCTAGTTTTTCGTTTGATTTAAGTGGCTAGTCTATCAAATTTCAGAGTAAACTACCCGCTATGCTGCAATTTTTGTATTACACGTTACTAAGCCTATTTGCACGGCTAAAATTCCCGGATCGGGAATGATGACGTGGAGTGTGTGTACCTTCCACTAAGACTGCATTTTGATGGAACGCTGGCTGCGCTCCACTTTTCGGGTGCAAGACTTTGGGCCCGGCGCAGCGACAAACGGCCAGACAGACATAGCCTTCAAGCGCACTAACACACACTTGTATACCCATGGGGTAATGACGTACTGTTTTTATTGTCCTGCTACCCCGCACTGAATGAATCTTGTCATCACGGCCACTGAACGTCAACTGTCCTTCGCTCCGCAATCGAGGACACGCGTACAGGACCGACGCACACGCACCGCCGTGACCCCCGCCTCCTTTTGCCCACGGCGTCTCGTTTTCCCAACTTCCAATTGGTTACTTCCCTTTGTCGGAGTTTTGCTCACGTTCTCTATTTTATTAAAAGAATAACAATGCCAAAAGTGTCAGTATTTGCCCCCGTTAATGGGATAATATAACCCGGTTTCATAAACACCTCACATGAGTCTTTGATACAGTATTATATGCCTCCCGTAAGTAAATTTTCTCTCCATAAAATGGTTAATTGCCTACATTGAAGGGTGCCTTTTAATAGGGCTAAGTAGTTTTTTTTTCGGGGCGTATTTTATATGGACAGCTAGCGGAAGAAACGGATTTGGGTAGGAGAAATGCCGACCCAAGAATTCAGACTCCAATGCTTCAGCTCATTTAATGTTTATTCTTCACTTTGTGGAATAATTTGAACAAGAGTACGACTGTCTCAGAAGAAATTTTGCCTTAGCTGTAGCTCCCTTATGCTGCAAAAATCCATTTTAAGGCTTCAGTTGATCTTCTGAGTTGTGTAGCCGCCCCATATTGTTTAAAGAAAGGATTTTACAGTGGCAATAGAGCTTATTAGACACACATGTCTGAGGTTTTCTCTAAACTTCAAAGGCATAGCAGGGGTGGTCCTGACTTTTGACCGATGCTTGTATCCGATGCTTGGTCTTCCAATTTAGCCTCAAATCTTCATGGTGTTCAGACGCAGCATGCCTAACACTTGCACTATACTTCTCACAGGATTTTCAACTTCTGTGAGAAAACCGTCTCCTCCACATTTATCTCATGGTCTTAAAAGCGCTTTGATTTAAAATATCAGAAGGACTGTTGTAGAAACGGCCCCTGAAGAATATTCTAAATCACGCGATTGTTTTCATTTAGTTTCTTCTGCTCTTAGAAAATCCTCTGAGCTAGGTGAAATTCGACGCTGCGGTGATTATTGCCTTTATTTTAGGCACCAAATGCACATACACTCGGGGTTCGGTGAATCACGACCTGCTCAGGCAGGATTCGAGCTCTTCCACGTCGCAAACACTCTCCACATCAGGAATCGGGACTTGTGAGTTGCAACTAGCATACATTCGTGTTCAAAGGACTAAAACTTCAAATAGTCTAAGAATTTTGTCATAAAAAGGCTACTTTCGGCTACTAATTTTGGCGCTTGACATTTTGTGCGGATGATCGAAAACTGGAAGCTGTTTCGCCATTTAAATGTCGAAGAATTGGTACGTAAAAGTCTTCATTATGATGCATATTCGATCGCATTCGAAAGGGATAATCTACGGTAGACCCCCAGAGGCCTTCTCCTGGAAATTTTTAGCCCCTTTTTCTTTGAAGTAAAGGATTTTAATGTTTTCAAGGGAGACCCAAACGAGGCTGTTTCACTTCTGTCTCACGCATTGTCCAGTCGACTTTTTGACCCTTGGGGAACTATGAGATTAGGAGTATGTTACGTGCCCTTGCTATTTGCTCTCTCCAAATACAAATTCTTGCTTTTCAATTTTACATGTGACTTGCAAACGCAAAGTACCACCTCCTCATCGAGTTTCCTTTCTCGCTACTAATAACGCTCCTGTCAGTAGTACTTCCCACCTGTGTTAACGAAGATGCATTGTTTGAGTTTGAGATTTTCCTCGAATTTTAATACAAAGTGTGTGTTTGATGTTTTATCTAGCTCTGCCTTTAATATTCCTGTTTGGGCAAGCCACCGGAGACTTCCGTGCAGATCATTGGGTGGAGTTGGTGAATTGCTGGTCACCGATTTTACTGCATAAAGTATTCTCGTCAAAATGACGCATTCACACGTGCCGACTCTTTGCATACATTAGGATTCGGACAGAATAAGATATTTGTCTGTCAAGATCTACGAAAGCATTAGCTAAGGATTGTCATGCTTTGAAACCATTCAATTTTGCTTATGAATAAACACACGACCACTGGTAACCTACCTAGATAGAGAGCTGGCAAACTGCCTCGCAGTGGGACGCTTCATTGAATGCACAAAATTGCCATCTTTTGTAGCACTTTTAAACACACTTCCTGTAGATGCGGCTAGAATTTGAGTTCCTGACAAGCAAATTGCCTGGTGGTGCACAGACATTTGCGTTTGTGCCGTGCCCTCAACATGAGACCGTGGTACGGCTTTCCATCGACTTATCTCCTGAATTCTAGTCTTACATTTAAAACACGCAAAATTGGACTAGCTGCCAGATTTCACCGCTGCATTAGCTCAATTTCAACCTATCTTCGCTTTGATCGCAAAAGGTGCAACTTTGGTGGAAGTTATCTTTTCAACTAATACCCACCTTGTTGGCGTGCGCATTCGATTTCCACAGCGGTACTGTCTTCCCCCATTGCAGGCACCAAACACACAGACAGTCGATCGGGCAACGCTCTGTCAATCCGCAAGACATCGAGCGACCCCGGTGCACCCCCTCTCCTAGATCGGTTGCCTTGTCAATTGGCTTACGCGCCCTCCACTCTCGATGCCTTGTTGGATTGGCTGCTGCTGGACCCCTTCAGAGCCAGACGAAGCAGTCTGGGCTGTGAGCAGGAAACCTCTTCCTGTTCCTTGGGGCCCTCTTTTAGCGTCTATCTCATGTTGCGGGCCATTTGTCGACAGTGTGACCGATGGGAGGCTTTGGAGAATAGGAAAATGGCAGCTGCGTCTGTAAGGAAACTCTAAAAATAATACCTTTTTCTGTTCCAACATCTAAGTTTTTAACTACATCGTTTTAAGGAAAATTAATAGACGTTCACTAAAAGGAATAGTGTGTTATAACCTGAACGCTGCCTTTAAGTTTCTCAGCGAGCTCCCCATTTTCGAGATAATTCACCTAACCTTTTAACCTTTTAGGCCTCAGAACTGAAAGTGAAGCAGCTTATCCGCCGACAGCGTGAACTCCTAACTCTGTTCGTGGCAGTAGCAGATCGCCTCGTGTCGGTGGAACGTCATTTGAACGAGAACTGCGCTGATGAACTCGCGAGTTCTCGCGAGGCACTGGAGGAAAGAGCCAGACGAGGCACTGCCATCCTCTCCAACATCAGTCAGCTACTACATTTCATCTCTAAAGACGTCGATCTTCAACGCATCTTCCAGGTTAGCCATCTTTCATACTCCAAAGAGGAGTAAATTAGATTATATTATAATTCTTTTGGGTTCAGTGTTGAATCATTTCATTAACCGTCCTGCCCTGCAGTCCGACGGAGAAGGCGAAGGAGACTGTGAATGCGGAACGGCCTGGCTTGCACTTGTAGACCGGGTTGCCGAGCTCGTAGAATCTGTCTTTAATAGCCTTTTGGCTACCCTGACCGCCCTCATTGCTTCCAAGTCATGCCTCCCAGCTCTTGTCGCCTCGTGGGATCTTCGCGCGAACACCTGTCGAGACAACGAGGTGGAGGCGGAAGAGGGAGGAGGGGAGGAAATTGAGATCACCGATGATACATCGATGGATGATCTGGTGAGTCATTGAATTCTCAACTAGTAATGACATCTTCACTCTTGGTTTATGTTACAAAACCATCCGATATTTAACCATTGAAATGCTATTTATTCGGTCCAGTGAAGACGTAAATAATTTGTTTACCGTAGTTGCACGAATTGTCAATTACCTCATGCCGCTTTGTTCATCTTTGATGTTGAAGGCAGTGTTTATGTTGACGTCCACCAATGTGAAATGACAAAGTGGCACGTATCTTGGGGTTTTCCCACTATGTTTCGCAGAAATTTACCCTACTGCGACAGAAAAATGAAAAATTGAATAAATCTCCTCTGCGAGGTGATTTAAAGTAAGGCAGAATATGCATTACCGATGTAGAGACGGGTCGGAGGGGCTACAGGCATAACTCTGAGGGTTTGACGCTCGGCAAATGTACAATGGCGAGGCCTTCAGTGGTCCGTTACCAAAAGCGAGGGTTGAAATAACAACCAAAGTGCTGCATAGCCCCTCTTCCCTTTTGTGTATCGTTCCCGGTGCTACCCTTGGGTCAATCTCCTGCATCAGCCATCATAATGTAGGTGACGGTGTAAAAAAAACACCCACAAACCAACCATACAACGGCACTGATCCCTTTTGATAATTCTACTGGGTCTGGGGTTGCGTCCTGCTCGAAAACTGTGGTGGGTGATGCGGGAATGAGCTGGCCATCACGCGTGTCCATCACGTGTTGTGAGAACACTGGCCTAAAAGCAGAGCCATATGGCAAAGGCCAGAATTTAGCATAGTCTTTTGGGGACAATTCCCCCTTGCTACTTTGTTTTCACCTCAGTACTGCTTGCCCGTATCTATCTGTGTTCTAAACAGGTAGTAAAGAGGTGGAAGAGGCACCGCGTGTTCACTTAATTGACATCTCCATTCAGGTACCGTAGACAGCTTCGTAATGACCTTTTTCCAGATGGCTCAAGAATAGTATCGCTCCAGGTGTTAATGGTATTCCTGCGGAACGCCGGACTGGGGCAGCTGCTGAAGGTAGGCGTCATTTGAAGCCGTTCAGTTGGGGGTCGTCGCATATCCCGTCCGCAGCAAATGCCCTTCTTCTGCTTAACAGTAGAAATCAGGATATTTGTCTTTTGAGGTCAAGTCCACTTTCCGCTGCCACCAATGTAGGGCCTCCCGACTTCCCCAAAGACGAAAGGAGACATAATACTCGGGCAGAATATACATATTCTGAGGAGGGCCACTGACATAGCTGGGAGGCCATTCTGTCCAACGGAAATACAAAGGTAAAGCCTTAAGTGGTCGCGAAACCAAAACAGAGTTAACCAAACTACCAAAGTGTTACATGATGATTTTCACTTTTTAAGCCCAAAAGTTGGGTTTAGTGTGTGGCAATTTTTTAAGTCAGTTTAGGCCTATGTTAACTGATGAAAACTGATCCCCATTGTACGTCTTCAGCAAGTCACCTCCGTTTCAGCACGCGGCACTTGATGGCTAGACGTAGAATTTCAGCCTCAGGTATGCGTTTGCATACTTATTGGCGTGGCATCTATAAAAGTTATTGCTTAAATGACCTTGGCTTGACATTCGACCCGGAGTGTTTGGGGAAACTCGCTTCACTCGTTAGCCCCGGAAATATTTCGCTCTTCCCGACAGTCTCAATTGCTAAACTGGGTGGCAGGACATGGTTACCTTCGCTCAAGGCAGGCCGAATTGTTTTGAGGTTGTGCTTGCGCACTTTTGATCTTCAGGCTTTGTTCCCTTGGTCCGCTTTTCCTGACCTGATTCCCACAGAAAACGCTGCACCGTTTACGGTTGTATACAACTCCTCCACATCCCACGGTCGTAAAATTTACTTTTAATTTATCCATTCAGGGACACTGAGGATGCAGTAAATTTGGTTTTTTAGGATTTTTATTGCATTTTGATCCCATAAAACTTCATTCACCAGGATAAAATTGTATGAAGGCTCCTTATAATTACTCTAGGAGAGATACGCATGTGCTATTTAAAAAGATCCGCGTAACGAGTCCCATTTTGCCTATTTTTCAAGTCGGACCCAGTGTTGGACGAGCTGACGAAGATACTAGGGATCCTGCACGCCAATCTCGTGAATCCGGCCTTCCTTGTTCAGTTGTTTGCCCGCCTCCTCCACTACACTGGCGCGCGCCTCTTCAACGGTTTGGTAGAGGAACCCGCGCGAGTTTCGCCCCAATGGGGTCGCCTCCTTTTCGAGTGGATCCACAAGAAACTCGTCGGGTGGGCGGAGCCCCAGGGTCTCCGTGTTGCTGTCGAGTGCTATCTCACTCGTCTTTCTCAGGTATATAACCCGATAGTGAACTTTAACATCCTCCCTTTTTCATTTGACTCCAAGTACCCTAGAAAATGGGATTTCAGAAGGGGACCTGATTAAATTCAGTAGAGTGTTGAAGCTACATTTGCTAACAAAAGGTTTACAAAAGGTGAGTTGAAAATTTTCACCGAAGCTTTTTGGCGTATCGTTTCAAATGGGAGGCATTTCCCATAGCTTGAAAGAACCTTGTCTACTTGTCAGCTGGCATTGTTTTCGGTGAACTCTAAGCTTTCCGTAAATTAGGGGAAAGTGGAAGCAAATCTTCATGGTCTGTCGTTGAACCTCCTCCAAGGAGCTTTGGATTTGGTTGGCAATTTAGCTGATCACTTGAACCAACTCCTCTCACTGGTTCTGTGAAAGTGTGAATTTTTAATTCATTAGGTCTGTGCATCAAGTGCGGTGTTTCTCTGCATCTCCCCGTCGCTTTTTTTTCTTGTTAGTGCTTCTCACTTATCCAAAGCTCCAAATCTGTATAGGGCAAAATAAATTCTCCTGGGGAAAATGAAACTGAGAAGATGGTTTTTTTTCGCCTTAAATGTGCATGACCTGGCAACCAAAGCGTATCAGAAAGACGTTGCATTTCAGTGTGGGTGATGAGCGGAAAAGCCGGTTTCGAGGGTGTAGATGAAAAAATGGGACGATTAATTATTCCGCACCTTCTGTGGAAGTGTTAAGCGTTTGAGGAAAAAAGTGATCTTGCTCCTACTTCTCCATTCCAGATGATGCGTAAAAGATTATCAATGCAAAGGCCTCTTAAATCATTCATAACAACTAGGTCTAATTGTCTTCCTGTCAAATTGTGAGGGAGCAAAAGACCCAATGAGCCATTTTTGCTTGCCCATTGTAGTATTCGACAAAATAAACCAAATTCTTATTTTTTGGATGACATTTTGTCGAATGCAGCTGGGTTAGCTTCCATTTTCAAAGGGCTTGCTAGGAATTTTTGTTGCTGACCCAAAACTTGTAGACTCATTCAAGAGTCAAACAGGAGATACGCGTGGATCTGGATTCGGCTTCATGTAATTTGACGCACTGAAGACGTTGAAACACTTTAAGGCCTCTTGATTGCCCTACTGTAGTCATTATAGGGGATTCGCACATCCGATGTAGAGACAGTTAGCAGTGACTTTAACGACCTTGTCGTCTTTTCTTTCTTGAAGGCCGCAGATCTGATGCAAGCAGACACAACGACAGTGGAGGGTCTCTACAACACCGCAGTGGATCTGGACCGGCTGAACTCGACACAAGTGCGATTTCTGCTGCGAGCCTACCGACCGTCATACGCGAGGCCTTTGCGCCACTTTATCTCCCCTGATGCGCCTTCAGACGCCACCTCTGAGCACATCCCTACTCAGTGGATCGACTTCATCATATCTGGTGTCAGCCAGGTCGGGTGAATTGTTGATCCTTCAATCTACTAGCACACTAGTGGGCTTCTCCACTTTTCCACTTGTTACAATTAGTGAGATCGCCTTAAAGCCCAGTTCACAACTGAATAGCCTAATTCCCCTGCAACCTGCTCGATAAGATATTTGGAGACATTTCCATCCGTTCAAATGCGCGCACAACATGGAGGAGAGGCAACTTATGAAGGTTGATTGTCTCGAAGCACTGCTTGTATGCGTACTGCTGCAGGAAGAAATGTAATATTTATAAGGCTTTACTTCTCTCCTTTCGTATTCATTGAGATTATAGGCTTTGGATTATGCATGAGCTACTCCATATGCCCATAAAGAGTCCCTCGAAGGAGACATTGGTTGTAATTTATCGAGACGCAAGTAAATCCGGTCAGGGCTGCGTCGCTTGAATGAAGTCGCCACGAGAATCCCCGGGGTGCTGCTTCAACGCACGAATATATGTTGTAACATTTTATATTCTTCTCGCCATTTACTTGTAAACTCATCCCACATTACCTTAAAACTATTATTCAGTGTGTACCTCCGTTTTCAGCAGATAATATTTCTTCACCCGCATAGTGGCACATTTGAGACAAGAGTAAATCCTCCCTTTTCCGGAAGGGGGATCTTCTCTTACCTAGTAGTCGGCAAAGGCCACCGCTTTTTGAGGTTATCCTTGTTGCGCATTTGTGTTTTTCCCCACAATTGCTGCTGTCTGAATTGGTAGAGAAATTTTCTTCTTACGTGCTCTTTTTTTCCTTCTTTGTTTAAATATCTGTATTTGTGGATAGTCCAAGACACAAACTGTATAGTTACTTTGGATCTCCATTTAAAAACGCTTCTTCGCGTTTTCCTAACAACATTTGTGGATTGCAACTGCTTACAGCGCGTCAGAACTTTAGAGATTCATTTATGAGTGACTTATTCATTTTCCTAGGCTTTGGAGCTATTAAGCGTCTTATCTGATTTTGTAACTAATCTAATGGTTCGGCTTTATCACAACCTCTATTTTTAGGTCTCCGATCGTTTACTGTCAGAGGAGTCCGAGCAGCCAGACTGGAAACCTCAGCTTCTTGAGGCACTGGATCTTCGACTGCCACTGCTGCTCCCAGACGACTGCTACCCCTCCTCCACTCCCATCAGAAACCCCCACCTTGAGCCGAGTACTCAGACTCTGGCTAAGCCTCAGGCACTTGAGGTGGGAACTGTGCCCACCAAGAACCAATCAGGTACCGTAGAGGTGGCCCACCTCACCACCTTCCTGCAACCGGCGCTGCTGAGTGGGTGGTGCCGCCTCTCCGTGCGTCATGTGCCCAGTCTGCGTGCCGAGCCTTGGCTCTCGTGGGATGTCTACTTGGCCATCCAGAATACTTCTACTGGCCATAACGACCGACCAGCTGAGGAATCTGAGCCACCTCGTGACAGTCCCGGACCCAAGGTTCGAGCTCGCTTCAATTTTGCGGAAAGAATTGGGGCTGTAATCGTGATTAATACACTTGAAGGATAAAAACAGACTAGAACACGGTGGACCGAAATCAGCGCATTATTTGGACTTTGCTTTGTGGTTCCAGAAGCTCTCACTCATTGAATTGTTTGATTTCCTGTCGTGATGGCAGTGGGACACATTAGATATAGACAACTTACATCACAGCAGTAATGTACCTTTCTTTAATGTCCATGAAATTCCTCATTGCAAAACATGAAACAGTCAATTTGAAGTATGGGAGTGTAGACTGGATGAGGCCGATCCAATTGTCTGTAGTATTTGATGTGACTCCAGTCTCAGGTGTTCTTAACGTGCCTTCATTTTAGACTCCACCAGCTTTTGAGGCTCCCTCCCCCCCACTTGAGGGAAAGACAGAAGTCAGCCAACCTGACTCACCCTCACCTGAATCTGCGTTTGATTTCGGGTCAACTAACACTTCCGAGTCCCTGAAAGCGGAAGAAGCAAGGAATGTGCGGGTTTTCACCGTCTCAGTGCCCAAAATCGGTAACAATCTCGGCCTCAGTATCGTTGCCGCCCGAGTAAGTACGCGTCCATTTACCTCGAGCTGGGAACGCTTTTAGCGCCTAGGTGTGGTCGGTAGTCGCGTTTTATATGCATACCCAATGCAATACAGTCCATGTGACTAAATTACTTTTTGTCACCTATCCTCGCTGCTCATCGTCACCAAAAGACCGAAACAAATGGATTTTATTCAACATTATAGGCGAAATGTTTCTCGGAAACCTACAACGAATCCACCATGACATTTTAATAATGCTCAAGTCAAATTGAGATACATATTCAGAGGTTATTTTTGTGAATAACAAATGCCTATCCCGATGTTTAACTAAATGCTTAGAAAAGCCTTAAAATATAGCAGCTTTATTTGCTGTACCCCTATTGGATTCCCCAAAAAATAGTCCGAGGACGGAAGTGACCTGGGTATCTATGTGAAATCCGTGACACCGGGCGGAGGAGCCTCCCAGGCGCGTTGGCTGGGCGAGGAGGAAAGCGAGCCACCACCACAGCCAGTAATTGGTCCGGGAGATCGAATTCTGGCAGTAGACGGACAGGAGACTCGTGGGTTATTGCAGGATGCGGCGGCGCGTCTAGTCAGTCTGGCTGGCTCCGAGGTTCGTCTCACCCTGGCCCGCAATCTCGGACTGGGCTGCGTCGCTGCTGCCGTGCCTACGCACGAACTGCGGAAGCGCAACGGCCAGACTCCCTCGTGTCGCAACGCCACCGTTACCTCTGCATCACCTAATCCATCTCTCCAGGTAGACGTAAGTGTTATCATCTTTTAAACTTTGGTCGGTTTTATTCCAAGACGGTTCATGAGTGCGTGCGCAGAACAGGATGTTTGCTTAACTACCCCTCTTTCCTTCGTCACTGCATCTGTACGTACACGCGTGCAGTGAGCCATAAATCTGGGTCACCGATAGGTCGGTCTTTGGGTCGGACAACAACAGTGACCTCCGTTTATTAACGCGCCTCGTCATCGAGGCAGCGAAAAGAAGGTATAGAGGAGACAGAACAGCATCGAGCAGGTCGCTTAAGTTCAGACCCTTATTCACCTCTAATGCGTCTAGTATTTGAAAACAGTTTTTACATCCTCCATTAAGACATTTGAAATGTGCTCCTTGATTTCCCATCCCGAGAGGAAAGAAGTACGCTGAGCGGACACTTTTTTCCGTACTTCACTGGAGCAAAAGGTAGGCACGGAAACACTAATGCGTTTTCAAACAGAAGGGTGGATAAAGTGTCTTCGTCGCTTTTTTACGCAACTAAATGTCTTTCTTGTCCAGTCGCATAAATTTCTGCTTCTAGCTACTTTGCGTTATCTTTCGCTCTTTTTCAAATGACAACATTCGTGTGTGCCAAATTGCACAACTTCGATGAGCCGCCGTCAAAGTGACTCACGAAGAGCCGTATGCAATGTGACGAATCGGCGGTGTGAATGTGTGCGGCAGCGGATGGATGTGTTTTGGCGTGTGGGCTTCTCTCATTTGAGATGCTAGTACCGATGTCACTGCCTGCGGGTATGCATGTGACCGTCCAGAAACAGCAACACTGGTGGGGTTGGTGGGTATGTGCGTGTGAGTAACCCCGTCATTGTCATTGTTCTCTGCTCCGCCTATCACCACGCGCATTCGCGTATACACCCACACAGCATTATGTAATCTGCATCGGCTACCACGCAAGGCTCCTACCCTCTATTCCGCTTCTTCTCTATGAACACCAAACCTGAGGATTAAATTGACTGTTATTGCCGTCCACTTCTTAGTCAGACTAAGTATCTGTAGACATTTAATTGGAGAAAAATCCATTTTAAACATGATTTTATAACATCCTCACACGAATTGTAGCCTACCGAGGCGGTGGAGACGAATCCAATGAAAAGCGTGTCATCAGTGGCGCCCCCAAAGGTTTGTCCTACCGTGGTTCGCACCGCCTCTATCGTCACGACTAATCGGCAGAATGTGGAGCAGGTAGAGTTAAATTCGGACGGCAGAGAGTCCGTGTCGCCGCCCTCGCCGCGAGTGCTGGTGGAGACGCGGTATCTACTAGCCCACGAGGTGCCCCCCAGCAGTGCCATTCAACGCAGTCGCTCTCTCATGACCCACGAGGCACCTGGTCGGCGCTTCTCTGTCGAACGTGGCAGCTGGGACTCCACCGAGACCACGATGTACTCCCAAGCACCCTCCTCCACTACTGACGCCTCAGCCACTAATCGAGCCTCTCTTCATCCTCTCGACAACAAGGGTGGGCTGAATCCTTGGTCATTTATTTTACTTAAAGATGAATTTTAAATCCGTGGAAATTAAGTGATGAATTTGTAACAGTTGTGTTAAAATTCGTTTCTTGTGTGTCTTGGTAAGCTGCTGCAAGTTTGTCTGTAGTCTAACGACCCACTCCCTAGTGAATTGTCAGTTACTGACAAAACACTCGATACGTTCGTACACATTACTTCGTGGTATTTGTGCTGGTGTGGAAAATAATACAACTTGAAATGTTCATGGAAGGTGCGAGTGATCTGTTCCAAGTTTTTATCAAGTAGGCATCACTTTTTTGGTTCGCGGAAGACTTTACTCCATCTAAATTTCACTACACCATGAGCTGCCCCAAATCTCTTGTCTTGTAAAAGTGGAAGATTCTGAAGCAGCCAACATCTAGAAGTGGGGAAACGCCAATAGATGATTGATTTTGAAGCTTAATTTTCAAAATAAGGGGTCGGTGGTTTTTTATTCATCACGCTTGCTCTCCCATATCTCGCAGCAACCTTCCCTAACCACCCAATTAGTAGGTAAACTGCGCACCGAATTTGAATTTGGCTTACTTTTACGTTGAATGTTTTCTATTATAAAATTTTGAATTAGTGAAAAGCTAAGAGTGATGAACCCTCAAACGTCCGTCTACCCCAGTGTGCACACATATTCTGGCCTGCTTACACACAATACAATGACAACTTTACTCCTTAAAAAGCGTCGACTACAGTTAAAATAAGATCGCTCTGACATGTTTTTGACACGTAAAAAGTCTGTCCAAAATAGAACAGTTGTTGTTACCTGTTGCTTTCTATGAAAAAGTGCGCAAAAAGCAACAAAGATCCTGCGAACTTTGCCACCGAAGGCAGTTCAAATAGCTCCCATGCGGATCCATAACACACAGGTGTATCTGAAAGTTAACTGCATATTTTTTTCTTCTGTATCAGCAAAGCATTCTTTTAAGACTTTCTAGCATTGGCTATACAGGCTACACATTCGCGGAATTTTTTTTCTTTTCTCCTCCGGTTTTGTAAGTTTCGCTGGCATCAGGCCGAAATCCGTTTTGGAATGTACACTTTCCTCGTGTCTAAAAATTGTCATTCCGCCAGTGCTGTTGTGATGCCCTCCAACCGGCTGTATCGTTAGTTTTGAATCTCGGTTTATCCTTTTTACGCTGCCTTGCAGATAAAATAAGAAGCGTTTGGGGGTTCATGTTCATTCTTCCTGATATTTTAGGAAGTACTTCATGTTTTTCTTCCATAACAAACCAGGTTGCACGGCCCTTTTATAACTCATAATAATATTTTCGAACCCAAATGATTGCAGTGGTAGAGATTTAATTCCCACGAGTTATGAAGGAATTCGACTGAATGTCACATTGCGAGGAGTACCTTGAAATGCAGTTGGGATTGTTTGTGTGAATGCTTTGCTTCAGTGTTTTCCACACCTTTTGAGCACATTGTTAGCTACTTTACAGTGTTGTCTGTTGATAAAGACATAAAGCGGATGTGGTGTCTACATTTTGAGCTCTTTTCACAGCTGCTGACCGGATTCTAAGACCAACCAAGGTGCTTCCGCTGAAGAGCAAGCAGTACAGCAGTTGGGAGGAGATGGATGTGGATGCAACGGTACGTTCTCCTTCATTTTCAGCGTTCTTTATAAATTCCCATTACCAATGTATAGATACTACTTCGCATTTGCAAAAAAGTGGTAAACGAAGATTAATGTGACATCGTCGCTCACTTCCTTGTATGTCAACCAAAAAGTGGACCTTTCAATGCTAAAATGTTGTTTAAAACAGGAGGTTGACTTGACGAGGTCGTTTTTTTTAGTAAGATTGCAAGACAATGACACAAACTCTTTTAGCAATTAAAGAGTACGAATATTTGGAATTTTGGAAGAAAACATGAACCATCATAGCCTCCAAAAGATATTTTACTATAAGTTCCGTTGCTTATGAAAGCTGAAAACTGTTTTTTGTTTGTTTAGCTGTTTTAAATTTAACTTAATGCAGTTAGTTACCATGAAATTGGCAAAGAGCATGCGTCACGTATGTGTGACGCTGGGTCTTTCTAATGACAAAGTTTCCGGTAGTTGTAATTTGAGTTCCGTAGCTTAATATGTTCCGTAAGTACTTGTTTTGGTCTGGTAAAACCGTCGAATAATTCGACACTCGCTTGTTGCTTGTTGAATGCAGATAGTGGGTTGAAGTTACGTGAATCGCAGTACAAATTCGCCTAGACTCGATGTAGCACGAAGCTCCACAAGCCTAAGTCTTTGCGTACTACAAGCCAAAATCACTCCTGATTTTCGTGGTCAAACGGAAGACAAATTTTGGCACAAAACGACACTTAACACTGAAGTGTAGCAAAACTGTGGTGGATAAATGGCTTTTCTTCCTTTGGTTGTTCGAAAGTCTCTTTCTCAGAATGTTTTGCTCACTTTTTGTCGAAAGAAATTAGCATCTGGTAGTCATGTGGTGAGGGTTTTGCCTATTTCCTATTTACACACGCATGTAGTCGCAAGTGTGGACACTTGCAGTAGGCATTCTTCGTGAGAAGTGAATAGCCAAGAGCGGAGGCATTCGTCCAGTTGGTGAGGGTCGACACAAGACCCTTCAGTTGTGTTGGCTGTCAAACCCCAACCTTAAAACTTATTGAAAATACGTAGTAAACATTTCCATAGAAAGTTGACGCGAGATTTTAATTTTTCCTTGAGCAATCCTTGGGGGAAAAGTACAATGCAGCTGGGCACTCCAAGTAAAAAAAGGAAAAGCGTTCATTTCCCACTTGCGTCTCAGTGAGAAACCTGCGAAGTCGTGGTAGATAATTGAGAAAAATCTCACTCGCGGCTTCATTCTGTCCATGAATGTTGTGCCGAACTGTGTTTGGATAATGCTCGGCGATGCTCACTTGTCGAGCATCTTTTTCCCTAGGTAAAATTTGAATGGTAAGTGTGTCAGTTGCCGCCATCTAAGTAATAACTTAGTGATGAAAGAATGGCTTAATTCATCACTTTAGACCCATCAGTACGTTTACTGCTGAAAATGACCTAAAATGCATTTTATAGCCGCACTGCTCAACACTTCCCAAACGTCAGATCAGCTGATCATGCCAGGATCCACAACTGAAACGCACATCTTAAACATCCCCCTAGTTTGTTCTCCAGAGCTTGAAGGCGGATTTGGGTTTACTGACTCGTGCATTTTGTCTCCGTATATGCAGCGTTCAAACAAACAATGCTTGGTCTCAGTTCTCAGTGGTATTCATGGATTGCTTGAGAAATTTCCTCGTAATGCCACACTTTCCTTGTTGTCACAGAAATGTTTTTTTTTTTCGAGATCTCACATTTCAATTTGTCATTCAGCATAAATTCTATGAAGGCACATAAAGATAAAATCTTCACAACAAAAGTGCATTCTAATAAAAATGGTTCTCATTGAAGGTTTTGAGAGCTCACGCTGGGATCGGGCACAGCCATGTATCAAGCGCCCTCGAAATAGCCTCTCCTTCCGCCCCCCTTCTCTCCGCTCTGCTCAACACACTTCACTTCTCATTTTGTAGTTGGAGATGTTGAAGGAAATGCGAGACCAACTGGACCGCAGTCTGGCTCTTCGAAACCAACGCGTCGCCCCTTTGCATCCAACCGCTCCGCTGTTATCTACCACGTGAGCTTTTCACCTCAACTTTTTAAACGTACCTTCCTCTCGGTGGCGCAAGGACGGCAGCGATGTAAATGAGGTCTTTTGAACACTGAGTTGTATGATATATCCACTGTGCATTTCCACCTCGAATTTCCAACTTTTATCTAAGAAATCAGGTCAAATCTATCCGAATTTGCACGGTTGTTGCTGAGATCACCACATCTCAGGTGTTCTATTGTCCTGTTATTGTCTTTCTTAGCCAGAATATCTGTCTTCATATCAACATCCATTTTACCGTTCCAAAGTCAACCAATCTGTATTTGGTTGAAATTGGCGTAGCCAGTAATTATGGGGTGATAAAGATCCTTTGTCACCCATATGCGACGCCCGACTCAAAGGAGGCAATCTAGGTAGTGATTGTGTCAAGTGTTTCCTTCTAACGTGGTTTGTGGTTTGCCTTTTGCCCATTTCTCTGTTACCGATCTCTAGGCAAGTGTGGCTCCAGTTCTGTATTTTTAGCCAAATGGACCACTATGAAACTAAATCAACCACAACTGAAGGCCATTTTCGCCCACTTTTGTGTCGACTCCACATCGAGGTCATCGAATAACTGTCAGTAGAGTGTCACAAATCACGCAAAAGCACTTCATGAACATTGTGGCTGCAGTCTTCTGCCTTCTCTTTAAGTTGTCTTCTTGATAGCGGTATCCACCAGAAAGTCATACTCATAACCCATTGCTTTCCTTCCATAATTATTTATTATTCTCGCATTGTTAGTGCTCCAAATTTTAGGAGCTAAGCTGTTAGCCGGAGTCATTTTTACTAACCTTCATCTTTATGTAATTTTTAAAGCATAACACTTTATGAGTAGAATCCGTTGCTTAAGCTTGACCTCCTTACACTCTAAATAGAGGTAGTGGCACTTGTTCCTCCCCGCCATAGTGGAGTGTGACCCCACCTATAATGTCTAATGTTCCTTTCAAACTTTGAACAATAGGAAAACTGTTTTTCTTGACTTTTTGTAAAAATACTGAATGGTCTTTTTCCCCACTTATGTTAGAACCTTGAAAGTGAAGAAAATTTCTGGCCTATCGGGTTTGGACGACAACTGATCAGCTGATGCAGGGCATTGTTTGAACTCCCTCATAAATGTTTGACAGATGGGATATAATTTTACAGTTATCTACTGGCTGCCACAGGCAAACTACCCACCACTTTCTGCAGAACGCTTTTTTTGCTAAGGTCTACCAAGAATTAGGCTGCTTCCTTAAGTGGTAACCCCTCTGTGTGTAGCAAGGCACTCCCACTTCGACTTTTGAGGCTGCCCCAATTGACACGCAAAAAGTTTTCTTTCTCCTTTTAATTTAATTCTAATGAATATGGGGAAAAATAGGCCTTTTTCACTTCGCCTCTCTGCAGCCATGATTTAAAATCAAATGATCAAGAATGCGTTTATGCTTCCCGAAAAAAAACGTCTTTTAATACAGCACGATGACCGTAAAGCTGATTTTTTTTCTTAAAGCCCGGTGTACACATTCCACCCGGTTGAAACCCAACACCTGTCATATGTGCTCGTAGATTTTTACCTTTTCATATCACTGGGAGGCCAAAAAAATCAACTTTGAGATAAATTCTACCGAGGCACATCCTGTTTGGTTGGAAGGGTCTATTATCGAAGTGATGGAGCATAAACCGTTACCAGATGCCGACCATTACATATGCTTCACCACACATCTTCTGATCTCCAACTGATCAATTTAAAGGTTTCTATAAAAAAAGCTCTCGTGGAAGTGGTGTTTATTCGACTTTCGCGCATCGAATAGGGAGGAAACGTCGGTTTTGAATTGCAACTGATCTTGTGGCAAAATTTGACGAGCCCCTGTCAAATTCTCCATCTATTTCTCGTATCTGTGGTTCGCAATTTACCCTCAAAACATGCGTTTAATCAAGTATGAAGGAAATATTCCAAATTCTGCAGCCACAGCACTCCCTTCACAGTGATTTACCTCCTGACAATATCGGGGACTGTGTTTATAGAACGTCAATTAGTCCAGAGTTCAACGAGTGGCTGGCAGCTCTCCGATTCGCAGTTATATTCTAATATTTCAAGTTCATCCAAACGATAGAACCTCAAAGCGTCTGACATTTTTATCTGTCAATTAACCTCCCATTTCCTCTCTGCAAATGGATATACCTGCTGCATTGCATTAAATGGGGTAGTGAAATCGTCCACAGTTTTTTTTAACCGAATCTTGCACCTTCAAATTCGAAGCATTTTTTTCCAAAATAAAGCTGCATGAAAATGATTGCATTCCTTTGATTGATGCAAACGTAGCCGTAGGTATAATTTTCCTTGATGTTTTCTACTTATGGAAGATGACCGGATCAGCGGTGTGATCCAACTCGGTACAAATTTTTAGCAAATTTAACGTTAAGTCCTACCAGACAAACGAGATTTTGATAATTTTGTATTTTTAGCTATTTCATTAGTGACCTAAACACTCTCCACCCGTGAACCCCCTTTCCCTTGGCGACATTCATTGGAACATTGGTAGTTCAGGTATGCAAGTTGATCATAATTGCAACTTAGCTTGATAGTAGAAAATATACCTACTTATCATCATTATCGGTGTGGGTAAGTACAGTTGCTCTTAGCTTTTTTCCCCTAATCGGGACCAGCGGCGCCAGCGTCCATTAGTTTGGGTTTTCTGCTGCATTTCGGATCCCTTGCGTGCAGTAAAGGGAACGGGCTAGCCCTGCCGCCCATAATCCGCTTCCATCCATCCAATTGCTCATTTTTGTTATTTCCTTCAGCACGGAGTGGAAAGCGTCGTATGGTGGAAGTAGGCTACGGGATGCCGGTGAACCTGGACCCCTCAACCCTCCACGCGCGGAGCACTCATCCCTAGACAAGGCAGCGTGGAAGGAGGAGGTGGGCACTTTAAAGTAGTACTTTTGTGACTTGGCCACAGTAACTTCATAAATTACGGACTAAACACTTAAACTTTAGTAAATGATATGAATTGGGTAATAACTGGTGCCCTCGTGAAAATTAGCGTATTTGCGGTCAGTAGAGGTCAATTACAGCGTCATAATGATGGATATCGAAGGAAGATTGGAGAATTACCTATTGCAGTGTGTTAGTCTAAGAAGGCTGTGTTGGTAATATGCAGAGTCTTCTCTGGACTTTGTGTGTACCTGCTCGTACGAACGCGTATATCTCCTGACCCACATTTCTTGCGTTGTCGTGTGTGTGTGTGTTTCGACGGATTGTGCACGGAAATTGGGTGATTGCTGAATCATGCTTACTCCAGAACACCGCAGCTAGCTGCGTCCACCACCACACAGAACTAATTCAATCACTTGCATCGCCTACCGGCCGCGCGGGGAGTTAGTAGGTCGTTCTTACTTGACTACTCACCTCGCTGCAGCATCCAGGTTTCTTCTAGGTGCACATAGCGAACTTGAAAATGTACAAGATTTAAATTAACCATTTTAGTTTACTCTGTTTAACCCTGGACCCTATATTTACCTGCCTATCAAACGCTCTTATTTACTATCAACTATTCCTTTCTTCTAATCACTTGTATGAACTTGATCATAGCGTAGTTTTGCATCTATCAGAAGTAAGCCCCCAAAATTATGATTTATGTTTACCATTAGCTACATATTTTAATAAATGATGCAGAAACTCGTTATGAGACCATCGTACCTCCAATATCTGCGTTGAGCTGGTCGAACTATGAACGAGAAATGAGATTGTCTTTGACAGACCGGATATCCTAGAATTTGATTTGCATTTAAAATTACATTCTGTATGAACTGTAAGATAGAAAGCCAATGTCCATTCCCCCTTCAATCACACATCGCAATCTTTATATTGACATGACTGTAAGATCGCGATTGTGATTCCTACTTAAATGATAAAAGGAGCTCCAATTTTCTTGTCAAGCAGAGCTCGGCTCTCCGCACCACGTCAGACCGCAAGTATTCCACGGGCGTTGCACGTTCGGCCTCCACGTACTCGCCTCTGACCTACAAGTCTTCCTCCTCTGTTGACGACCCACATCGCAGCACATTCAAATTCCGCACTCCCGCCGCCACCTTCAGCACCGGTCCAAGCATCACGCGTTCAAACACCTCTGAGTACGGGCCTCTGCTTATTTTGTGAAATTTCTTGGACAACATCAACTTTTCATCCGTTATATTGTTTTCTTCAAAGCTTAGCTCCTTAAGCAGACTTTACCTATTTTTGGTGCTTTCATACTTGCGCGGTATTTTCGGTCCGAGGCGATATGGTGTCGTTGAATCGCTTGGTAAAAATTAGAGCTGCTAGGAAGGAGCACGTGGTATTTTTACCTATGTAAGACATTTTTAAAGAGCTGACTTATTTTGCTTTTGCCACGAAAAAAACATCTTGTCACAGAAATTCTTAGGTGCTAGCCAACACATTTGCTGCGAGGAATCCCCGGGGAAAGTCTACAACCGCAGCCTAGACGTTTAAATCAGTTTGGGTGGTCCCAAGTGCCAGTAACTTTCTTAAATATTATGCAAAAACTGAAAGTTTGGTTATTCTCAGCTATCACGAGGTGGTAAAGAACAACATATACGTGATGGTGTTAGCAAACGCGTTAGAATCTGCTAAACAAGCGTTGATTCGCGTACACTGATCAACTTATAGCACACTGAAACTTCCCTGAGGACAAAACGTGCCATAACACTGGGGCGAAATATATATTGTTGACGCACAGAGGGACCTGGAGGTCACTGGCATGGCCCAGAGGTCAGGCTGCCTGGTGAGCGTACAATGATGGAGCTCCAAGCGGCCTGTTGCCAAGACCAGGAGTTAAACGAACAGTTAAAGTAGTGCAAACTTGGAATATTCATGTTCTACTCAGATTAATTGTAATGTTTTCGGCAAACTTACCGTTTTTGAAAATCACGAAATTCGTACCTGCACCTAAGTTATCGGTTCTCGCTCGCAAAATGTCCCGTTACTCCCCGTCAAAAAGAGGAGAGAGAATTAGCTTCTTCCTATCGGTTATGTAGACTTGGTCAGATAAATGGGCCATGAATGTAACCAAGAAATCGCCCAGCAACTAGTCGTACAGACTCGGTCAAGTTTTTACTCGAGCTGCGGCCTGTGATTGTGACATTTGTGTAGAAGTCGCCCTCTAATTCTTCTCTAATAGAAGCAACATCATCAACAAACTACAAGAATGGATGGACAAAAGCGACTGCGGTCATTGTACAGAAGATTGAAATTAGGCGTGGGTGGCCCTGCAGAATTGAAACCCTCAGATAAGTGATCAAGTCAGCCACTACCTACCTGTCTCGTCTGGTTCATTAATTCGCCTCCATTCTGCGTGACTGGGCAGTCTGAGGGGGAGCAGTCACGAAATGTGGTCCTGCAATTAAATACTTTTTGTTTAAAGATCAGGTTAATGTGGCGTAATGTTTACCTCTCTCCTTTCCCCTAGTCGAATTCACTGCGGCCCAAAGGCCATTTACTCTGTGAGGGTTCCCTTCAAACACAATGTTTCCACGGACCACCTGCACAACCGTGGCCATCCCGCCTCCGCCATTGCCACTTCAAGGTCCTACGACTTCGAACTTGAACATCGACGCACCCAGAGTGCTGATCAGACCCTCAGTGGTGAGATTCATCTTCTCGTTCCTCCCTCAACGCAGCTTAGGTGCTCCGTGTTTAGCTGCAAGAGGCTTGTACCTAGATGAGACCTTTTTGGTTTGCAATGGTAGTTCCAACCGTTTACTTCGATGCATTTTCGCCTGCGTGTGAATGATTTCTCAGATTACCTTTTGAAATGGATGCTGTAATTTGACGTGGGAAACAAATCCACGTGTAACAAAAACCCAGATCTTGCTAGTTCTGCCAGTATTATGGATTAAGTTCTCCTCTAATCACTCTTGGTTTTTGCTTTTCTCTCATTATGAGCCAGTAATTGACAGTAGTACTATAATCCAGTGCTAAAATACGGTCTATGCTACGCTGGGGTCTCAGGAAAGTGAAAATTGACGAAGCAAGCTATCCCCTGCGATTTGAGTTTCCACAAGTTAATGCTCCCACTTTTTTAAACACTTTTGAGGAGTTAGAAAATTCTAACTAATATTTGTTACTAAAATAAATTTCTACACTCTGCTTCACCCAAAATCTCCGATTCTATATCTGTATTTCGGTCAAGAAACTAAAAACCAATAATGAGTTTTGACTCGGAGAATCAATGAATGGTGTTGTTCTTGCATTTCACAGTCATCCACCCAGATGTAAGTTTTTTCTACCCTTCAGCGCATGATTTACCTCTTGCTTGGCTCAGATTCACCCCGACTAACATCAAATGCTCCGCTGCATTTTCGCTTACAAAGGGCTTTGCAGCGACTGTATGCATCTATTGGAGCAAGTTAGGAGTGACACTTGCGGCGGTCTTGATGGGGACAAACATGTTTAAAAGCGGCAGTAAACTGCTTACCCCTTCCTGCGTATGCTTTTCAGCGTTAAAGTACCGCCAGCATTCCCCCTTTCCAGGGCTGTGCATGAGCATGATGCTGCTTCTTCATTCAATGCCTACATTTCACCGTGTGCATCTGCGTACCCGTCACACTAGCAAAATTTGCAAGATCGAATGTGTACTTGTGATTTGGGTTTACGAAAACACTGAAAGAAGCATGGTTAATGTGTAAACGTTGACATTAAGAATGGTAGGCAGTCGACTGTTTCCTGTTAAGTGGAGTTGACGCTCTTCACGGTTTGTATACAAATCGTAGGTAGCGTTATGTGCTTCTGGCGAGGTGAAAAGTGAGTTTGAGCACGACCATGTACATAATGTGATCGAGATAGCGGTATCACTCAAAGGGGTGGATGCTAACTTGTTCTTAGGGAGGATTCTTGTGGAGTTGGGAATTTCGGCCTTGCGGATGTGCGCAATCCACCATAGTAGGCGCTAATTCTAATCTTGTTACACCGAAGGCCAGTGCGAACCGGGTGACAGACAACAGTAGTGTGTAGGACCCAAATCTGCGGATTGGTATTTGTCCCCACTCCAGACTTTAAGCGTAGTGTGGTGAAGGCGAGGACACTCACCGCCTCGAAGCAAGACATTTAAATGGTGAATGTTTTATAGGCGGTAAGTCGGTCACATCCGGACTGATGGCGCTTGCTCCACGGTCTTGGCAGTCATTCTTGCTAACACCCGGCCAGTGAGTGGAAAGTCGGCGTGTGGCCTCCCGATAAACACGTAACCATCCATCCTAAAGTTGTGTGAGCCGAAGGACTTCGTGAGAAGGTTAAATTTGCGACTTTGAAACGTAAATCCATAACACGTACAATGACAGCTTTTCACTTATAACCTACCAAGAAGAGTTAAATCCTACGCCGAGTTGTGGAAGCCTTCTAAATACGAGGTGTATAAATGTGGCAGGAGGCGCTACCGAGTATAGTTTTACTTGAGTCCTCTTTATAACCCTTATTTTAAAAACAGAGCTACCAGTATCAAAGAAGAGGCTGAATCAAGAAACCGTCTCATGGAATCTTAAATTGCTTTTTGAACTGCATGCATCTTGGTAATTTTAGCATCTCTTTTTCTGAATGTTTTTTGTTGTGCTTTATCCCTACCAGATAGCGTCGATGGTGGCCGACGTCCAAGTGTTGCCGAGCGTGTGAAACACTTCCAAGGCGTCATTGAAAATCAGTGTAAATAGGAATCTCGACGACGCCTCCTTCCTCGATTTACCGCTATTGTGAATACCTCTTTTTCCTCCCACATCTCCTTCTCTACCCTCCGGGGTTTTTACTTATGTTTTACTCATGTGATTTTATCCTTCCTCATTGCTCTTCTGGCGGCTCGTCCGTGTTTTGATTATTAAGCTCATTCAATCTTAATAATGCCTCCCTACAGCGGTGTTCTCATCCAACACTTGCCACTTCCTCGCGAACAATGGGTAAAGACATAAAAATTTTGGCATACATATTCTTACTTGAAGTGTTGGGTAACAATAAACAATTTCACGTCCTCCGAAGTATCCCCAATAAATAGTGGTGTTTTACAAATCGGTTCATCGACAAGGAGGTTAGTAAAAGATACATCAACCTACTTCCTAGGGGATTTTATTACTGGGGCACGCTTTGACCACGTGAGAACTGTCACGGGTTCGTCAGCCGTGCCATCATGTGGGCAAGTATGTGCCATTACAGCGTGTCTGTTGATGGCGGAGGAGAACTGTGAGGCAGCGCATACAGCGAAGACCTATCCCCTTGTCTTTCGAGGTGGACGCCGATTAGTCAAGGTCCCCCCACTGCCCAGTTCTAGGACCCTCCGTGGTCTCATTGACTACCTCAGAGGTAATCAAACCGACCCCTACAATATAGTGATGCGGTGTCGAGGGGAGTGCATTTTAATTGAGGAGTCTCCAGAATCCGACCCAAATAGGGCGCAGCATGCGGAGGCGACTCCCATTAGTGAGCTGGACCTCTCGAAGTATGAGGACACTCTTTCAAAATCTACTCCTCAGGTCTATGTCACAAACGACCCCTGTCCTCATTGCGCCAGTCAAGGTCTGAGTATCAGTGCACGGAACGCTCGAATCAATTATCAACTTGGAGATGCGAACAAGGGACCGATAGTGAGTCCCTTTGTGGCAGACATACGCTGCGGATGCGAATTTCCGTGTAGAATAAAGTGCTTCCTCACCGATCCAGAGGCATGGCCGTTAAAACGACTGGTAAAGCTCACCTCCTGCCTGTCCGACCTCACCTCCGCGTCTGCGTATATTTCGACAAAGGAGGTACGGGTGGTGCTTCGGCTCAATGACCATCTGCGAAAGGAGGAGGGCCTGCGAGGTTGGGTCCTGATTGTGGAGGGCAAAACACAGGAGGCCGTCTACTCGGTACTTCGCTTCATTGAAAAGAGACTGATTGATGAGAAGATAGTGGAGTTGGTTGGAAGCACAAAGATGTGAGGATGAACCCTAGGGAATTGTGTACACCCATGCATGCGTTTTGATGTTAACATTTTTGAGGTTAATTTCAATTAGTATCGACGATAATTTATTTGGCTTCCTCGTGCTTTGAGTCCCGTTGCAACATTTCACGAAGAGAGATGCTGATGGAGGCACAGACAATGGCCTTCTGTACTACTTAATCATTTAAATACGCTTTTAGCTCATTCGTTACGATCAATTGAGCAACGCCTCGTACAAAGCGGTTTTAATCGGAATTTCCTTTTTTATATTATTGGTGGTTCTCTACCAGTTGAATTTTCATTCCGTAGAATACTTTCTTCGGCTTTTTTTAATTACCAACCCCATTTAGATCGTCGAAACGGTTTTACTGTTGCATGAGATGGTATCTACTGCAGGAGGATAAGGTGGCACTGTTAGGGAAATCTCAGGAAGGGTTGAAATAAGGGTGAAATAGATTAAATTTTAAACATTTCTTTGAAGTTTTTACGTACAAGTGAACTTCACTACCCATTAGACAATGGGAGAAGGACAAAAATTAACAGGCGGATGCGCGAAACAGTGTCACGTGCTGATTGCTGCGTAGATTTTACTGTCTTAAGATGTGTTCAAATCTTCACCGCCTCCCTAAGCAATTGACATCATAGTCAACCACCTCACACTGGAAGCAATCATGTAATACGTTGGTTGTTTGTTGAACTCCCGGTCTTGGTAGAGAAACCACTTAGGGGCACCACCATTGCACCTCCGCCGGGTGGGCTTGCCTCTAGGCTATGCCAACAGCCCTTCAGCCCTATCGTACATCTAAAATACGTATTCTCTTCTGTTATTTTCTTCTTCCCTCTTCAGGAAAGTCTCGAGGTGCTACAGTAAGTCCTAGTTTGAATGTGAAGGCATATTCGGCCTCGTCATTTTTAAACAAATTTACTAAGGTAGGTGCCATTCTAGGTTTGTAAAAATTGCATCCATGCGGTTAAAGCTTAAAGGGCACATTGCATCATCTATGAGGGATCTAGGAGGATGGAAACATTTTTTGCTGAATAAGACATTTGCGACACTTTGTAAGAGGCAATCATTTTTTCAGACCGACAGCTAGAAATGTTCATGTAATCCAATCATTTCCGTTGCTCTTAAAACACGCAACATTAGCTTTAGCCCCAGCAAATATTGGAGCAGGGGAGACGCTTACGCATAATTGCTGTTGCCGAAGCAAAGTATATTACGTAGTGGACATAAGTGCTCCAGCTAAGGCATACGTGACATTAAAACACAGTTGGTTAGGTGGCATATGGTCCATTGGATACTTGCCTCCCTTACCTCCGTCAGGTGACGTTGAGTCTGCTCGACCATGGCAATGTTTTCATCAGCAATCTCTGCTGCATAGTCTGCGTGGTTGCCTTCATGAGCCGTCATATTGTAATACGCACTACTGGATGCCTCCTTTTCCTCAGCTCCCGAACCCATGTTCTCCATCCAAGCCCCTCTGAATGTGCCAACGCTTTAATGGGACTGCATTTACGGAACAAGAGAAGCGTGGTAGTGTTTGAATACTCCTACGCTGTGGGCAGTATCATGTAACCTGTCTTTCATAGTTTCCATTCCTGAGCGAGTGCCTCTCTTTTGCCACGAAATTTGCTTCGAGTTCGCCTTAACTCACAGGCAAACGGTTACCCTAATTTACCTACTCGATGTCGTCTCTGTTCTCCTCATAATCACATCACTCTTAGCTTCCACATTCAGATACAACGACCATTGTATTTGGTGTTGACACCCTAATTGATGCTATCTTCTTAGGCCTTAGTCGTAATTCCTGAGTATTCCCTTTTCCATGAATAGTCATGGCGATGGTGTGCTTATTTTATTGCTGAAAACTGCAAGAAAATCTTCTCCTTCGGATCGAAAGAGAGCCTAATGCAGTGAAATCCCCGAGTATTTATGATTTCCTTTATCTTTTCCTCCATCGTCTTTCCAACCATTGCCGAAACTCTTCACACTGGAAAACTACGAAAATCCACAAACGACTAACGAATTCTACCCTTGCATTAGGCAAAATCCTGTTGGATTGTAAACCAATGGCTAATAAGTCTACTTCAAGTCTGAGAAAGATATTTTTGAATTGAACATGGGAAATCACCGGAATAATCGGAAAAGCGCTGTACATTACTATTTTCCCGTGCAAAGAATACTATCATAGCTATGCGCTTAAAACATGATTTTAGTCTGCATAACTCACTTCTAATAATACAGTTTTACTGGTAACCAACTTGTTTTTATGACTCTTCGTTTTGGGTTCGCGGACATTTAAAGCTATGCGACTGTACTTTAGCCGGGCAACATGGCATTTGCGCCATGCCAGTGTAATACGATAGTGGTTTATCCCTCGGCACTGATGAGGCGCCATTTTTGTACTTCGAATAAGCCTCTTCTACCTCGCTGGGTGGACTGGCGCTAAATATATATTCTGCCCGAGTATTTTGTCTTCTTTTGTCTTCAGGGAGTCTTGGGACGCTACACTGGTGGCAGCGGAAAGCGAACCCGATCTTAAAGGACATGTATCCTGATTTTCCACTTCTGCGTGATAAGCCTTAGTGGTGCGGAAGAAGTGCATATGCTACGGATGGGAGAATGGTGATGACCCCTAATAGAAGGGTTGATGCTGACATCCACCTTCGGAATCTCTCCCAGTCCCGTGTTCTGCAGAAAAGCTATTAACAACCGAAGTGACCCTGGCCGTGAACCATTGGAAGTTTCGTTACGGATTTCCCCTACCGTCCTGAATCAAATCCCTGAACCAGATGAAACTCCAGATCCAGTCAAGCTGCCAAGAGGGATCAGCGACTTTGAGGTCAAGTATCCCTCAGTTGCGCGCCAATTTGGTGACTAGCACGGTCGGTTCGTGGGTGTTACTTTACTGCACCGACTACGTTGTAATGGCTGACGCGGGAGGTTGACCTGTGGGAGCGCCGGGGACGACGCTCAAAAGAGGAGGGAGGCTATGTAATACGATGGTGGTTTATCCCTCGGCATTGGTGAGGCGCCACTTTTGTACTTTGAATTAGCCCCCTCGTACCTCGCTGGGTGGGCTGGCCTTTTGGGCCATGCCAATAGCCCAGACACCTTCTCCGTGCTGAATGTATATATTTTGCCCAAGTATTGTGTCTTCTTTCGTCTTCAGGGCGTCCGGGGGCGCTACGCCAGCAGCCCATTTGGACCCCTTGTATGTCAATAATGCATATTCTAAAGTGGCATTGTGGTTTCTTCTACCTTTGGGGAATATTCAACGCTTTGCAAGGTCCTAGATCATTATTGACAGAAATAATTGCGTGCATATACACGAGTAGTGTCTAAGAACAGTGGTTACCGCATAAAAGCAGGCTTCGTTAGTATACTTTTTCTTTATATAAAACAAAAACCGCGATTAGAATTTTTTGAGCTTTGTAGCTTACGCAAATGATGAAAATAATTTTAACACAATAAGGAAAAAGTGTCAAATGTCACCTAATTTTGTTTTACTTATCTGAGTGCGGGTCTCGCATATACGCGCGGTGTTAGAAGTACCGGTTTCGGGTTATGGTTAGTTTATCCCGATAAAAAAGATCATTAAATAACAATATCACCAAAACGATTAAGATGGCACTTCACGGCAACGATCAGACACATTTTACGCGTGGAGACAGTTGTGCACCTGACAATCCAATGCTAAAGGACACAAGCTCCTTATTTCATAACGTTAATCTCTCTTCTCATGTGCCAACCTATCCTATGAATTCCTGCAGTCATAATGCTCAGCTTCTCTTCAAAAATTTCTCCCATTGTGCTGGGCGGTCTGATTTCTGTCGGTCTTCAAGCTACCATGGGCTAGGAGGTCACGGTAATCATGCTGAGGATAGCCACCTTGGAAACAATGAACAATCGCTTGATTTTGGACATCGTTCAGGTATTCATGGTCTTGATCATTACAATAGCTTCTCAGATAATTCTGGTCATGAGTTGTACCCGGAACGCAGCCAGAGCTCCACTGGGCATGTTGTTAGGACACGGCGCAGGAAGGCGGGTGGAATGGAGGCGGCTCGCGTTTGTGTTGTGTGTGGTGAACCTGCTTCCGGATATAATTTCGATCGTCTAACATGTGAAAGCTGTAAGGCATTCTTCCGCCGGAACGCTCTTAAGCCGAAGGAAAAGGTGCATTTCTTCTACACATTGCAAATAATGTTGCTTCTTTGGTGTATTGTTGAAACTATCTCCGAGTTACCTTATATTTCACTTATTCTTTGTCTATTTTTGCTTGCAAAATCGTCTATTTTATGGAGACTTTTTCGTGTTTACTTTCGATTTAACCTCAAGGCTCCCTCGGCTTTTGGGTTCTTAAAGTTTCCCCATTTTATATTTCTTGGAAAGTGTAACAATCGTGAAAACAATGGCGCTTTATGCAAAGCTTTTTGTTTAAAAAGCAAAAACGATGATTTACAAAGTCCTTATCTACGCGGCCGATAGCCCGTTTTTTGTGAATTCATGCATTTGGAACAGTAGGCGTAATATTTGGACTCGTTCCTCTCAAGTTCAGTTTTAGCTTTTAGGTCAGTCTCTTCTTCACTGACTCTGAATTAGTAACCATTACTTTTCTACCAAATCTGGACATTTATGTGCCTTTTCCTGTTCCAACGTCCTAAATACAGGTTCTGTTTTGCTTTATTATTAAGTAGACATCGAAAGAATGCTTTTTAGGGGGGGGGGGTGCTACCACGTTTTTTTTTCTATTTCACGGTGTTACTGTTCCTTCCTTCTAGATCAAGGCCTGTGGTAGAAATGGCGACTGTAACATTGAGGGAAGTCAACGAAAGCACTGCCCTTCCTGCCGACTTGAAAAGTGTCTTGCAGTCGGAATGAAAAAGGAGTTGATTCTGCGTAAGTAGCCTCCATTTCCCTGTCTTATTTTCCCCTCAGTGTGTATTTGCACAAGCGTGCGTGTGACTATCCACGATCCCTTTTGTGATTGGGGAAACGAGCGCGTACCCCATTCCCTCTTTTCCTTCGCGTCTTATTGACTCGATTTGCACTTTTATTGTAAAGGCATTCGGTTTTTACCTTTAGCTCCCTCATGCTTTATTTCACAACGTAGTGAATAGGTACCCACTCATTACACTGGTAGCCGAAATTGGGAGTGAATTGCCGATATTGTCTAGGCATCTGTGTGCGATCTTCGAGTAATTTCGATTTGAAAGTAGTGGAGAACTTCCAGTGTTTTTTTATGTCATCAGCTGATCTAAGTGTATGTATATCACCGGATTCTGCTAGCTTTCTTTTTTTCGCTCGTTTTGTTGCAGGGATTAGTTTTTTTGCCATCTTTTATTATTTTCTCGTGATTCCACTCGCCACACGGGAATCAATACCCTTAAATATATTTAAGGCTTTTTGATTGGCTGACAGGTTGAGAGCTGGTTAAGGGAATGCTCGGTAAAATGTCGGCTAACTCGGGCATGACTACAGCAAAAACTACCCTGCCTTTTACCCTCTTAACAACAAGCTCCAAAACAATTTTGTTTGCACGCCCCTCCCTTTTTTCGCCTTCGGGAGCGTTCATGCATGCGGTTTCACCTCCCACAAACGCACACAGGCTTCTGCCGAGTCCCCATTTTTTGTCAGTTTGTAGAATTCCTGTTTGAGTAGTTCTTAAGGTCAGGTAAGTTATCATAGAGTAACTGGAAGAACTAGTATTTTCCTGCCTCCTTCCTTCTTTATTGCGGCCATCATGAGAGCGAGAGGTCCTGGATTGTGTATGTATACATGCAGGCGTAGGTGTGTGCGCGCACCTTTGCGTAGAGGTTGAGATAAAAGCACCTGTACATATATGCGTGTGGCAAATATATGCGCACATAAACGGCCGCCTAAATGGGCTCATTTTATCGTTGTATTGTCGATTTCCTGTGTTCCCCTCGTGTACACCCTCAGCGCCAAATTGCTCTCCACATTCCCCACATACGCGCCGCTCTTTTTCTTGTTTGCTGTACCTTTTCGTGAGTGAGGCACACCGGCTAACTATTTTCCGCTACACCTCATTTTTGCATCAGTTAAGCTTTGCTGTTTATATTCAACCTTCCCTTACTTCCCTTGGTGGCGCAAATTCTCGTGTGGACGTTGTCCTTCCATACTTAGCTTTCTCAGTATGGAATGGAAAGTGGTTGGAGGATGCATCACATGTTCACTGTTTGACCCACAGTTGCTCTAATTTACATCATATTGTATGTATGTGTAGTCGAATTTCACTCCATAAATTACTGGCAATACGTAGCCTTCCTCGCTGCCCCTGGCTTAACAACTTCATCCTCTCGGGATCTGTGATCAAAAGGCCGTGGAAACGGTTCGTTCAGCATTGTTGTTGGGATAATTGACCCTTTGTGGATGATTGAAAAAGTAGCAAGGCGCCTTCATGCTTACGACTCACATCGGTCCTGTTTCTTGGGGGTTTTGGCTGGATCTTCAACAAGAACGTTCTCATAGGCTCCAGGTTTCCATGCAATGCCATTGCGATACATTTGCATACCCTTCGTCGACTAAGCATTCCCCTTCGTTGTCACCGAACGATGCCATAAAAGAACTAAAGCGACGGGAGGAGTTGTGAATCCACATAGCTCCCATTTTGCAAACTTTGGCTCATTCATGAGAACCTTTCGTCTACAGACTGGACTGTTGCAAAGTATTAAAGTTTCTTTGATTTTCCCTCCTGTCTGTACTTTTTTGGGTTTCTCGTGCTCAGGATACTTTTTATTCCGATCTTACTGCAACAGCGCCTTTGGCACTTCACTGTTATTTTTTTCTTTGAAGTCACGCAATTTTGTCATTAATATCCCCCTACCTCCTCCTTCCTTTATATCTCGTGTATTTGGTATTGTCAACTTCCTTCCTCCTTATCTGATATGATTAACGGTCATCTCAGTAATGGGATTGACGATGCTTCCGAGCATGGAAAAGTTACTTGAATTTTTTTATAGTTGAAGCTACAGCAGCCTTCGATGCGTGACAATTCTCCATTCTTCTCTTTCTCACGCGCGTTTTGGTAGCGCTTTGGTGCACCGACCGTCGATCATTCACCTCCTCCACCAAATGATGTTGCCTTTTTGTTCTCTGTTCCTTCCTTCAATTGTGGTAACCAAATTTTTGCTGGGTTTGAGTCTCGCTTATGCGTCCTCTTGGCTTTCATCTTGCGTCCACCTTGGCCATTGTGTCCCACGTTAGCAGTATAAATATTTTGGTTTGGGATACTTCATTGCAGAGGTTGGTTTCGGGGACAACAACTGTTCCTTGTGCATATTTCTGGCTCTTGTCAATATTTCACTGCTTCGGTCCAATTTCATAGCGCTTGCGCTATCCCATTGGTTTGCAAGCTGACGAACTGTTACTTTGTTTCTTATCTCACATGGATGATGACGTTGAATTAACTACTTGTCACCGCTAAAAGCGTATTGTGGTCCTCCTATTTGCATCACATTTCGGTGAGCTGGCGTCTCGCTTCAACTCGCCATACCAGCCGATAGATGGGATTTGCAAACATTTTTTATCTTGCCTTGCTCAAGTAATTCCTAATCGAATTCCTCCTTGTGTTTAATCAGTATCTCAATCTGCTCCTTTGTTAGTCCTTTAAGTAATGTTTGCTAACAGAGAGCTACGTATGCGTGCCTTAATTTTCTTACCTATGCCCGCCGTCACATATGTGCGACGTGTTTTTATCAGTTTAGGATGGCTCCTGATTGCAGAAAATCGTGCCACTAACAAATGGGCTGAGTTGAAAATAATGCAACAGATATAGGGTATTTTGGCCAGAGGATTAGGACAGTTTTTGTTTTTTGAGTAGCAGTTTAATTGGTCAAAATTATTCCTGATAATTGGCGTCGTGTTGAAACGGTAAAACGTGTGGGCTGTGGTGGTCGACTTTTCTATCAAAACATGGTAGTTGACGTGTCCCAATGCCTTCTTTTGTTTCCCATTGAAAATCACTTGGCTTTAACGGGTCAGAGTTGATGAACTTTTGGTGTAAGGCTAAGCGACACCAATTGTGGTCACTGCCAATTTTACCCACCGCGCCACAATTTAATTTGCTGTGACGACAACAAGTCGGCAACTGGGTTGTCTTGTTTTTTTTTTTTGGTTCCACTCGTTCCACCTGACGCACACCTTTCAACAGCCTAGATGTTTGTGACGTCCCCTTTGTCTGCAAAAGTCCAGGCTTTGGGTGGTTCGCGCTGTGCGTGCGTGTGCTCTCCAGCACTCTTGCATGTAGGCCGTCTGGCGCTGTAATTAGCTTCGGGTCTTCGATTCTGCCTTTGAGACAGAAAAAAGGCGAATAATTAGTACCGCTTTTAATGGCACAGGCGCCTGAGAACTCCAATTATCCCGCCTATGAAGTCGATTTAGAATACACCTGGGTCCTTTGGATTGAGTTGGGCTATCCCAGAGCCAAAACGGTAATTTGGTCTGTCTTGGTCTAGTCTGCATACACCGTGATGTGTGATTAGTTAAAGTGGACTGCAAATAGCCCTTGCTATCCCAAGTGGGCAGACTGAGCGAGAGGGATGTTAGGCGAGTGGCCGGCTAAGTACCGTAATAAAGGTTGTCGTTGTAGTGTGATTTTATTGAGTCCATGCATGCACCTACGTGTGTGTGTGTGTATATGCCTGAGCCCCTATGCGTTCGGTGGCAGTGGCGGCGGAGGCGGCGGCGTCTCAAGTTCTTTCTGGCACAAGCGGCTAAGACGCGCATGGCTCCCTTCCCTTTCACTTGACTTGTGAGTCATTCCTGCTACTGGCCCGACCGCCGCCTTTTCTCCATCCTCGGTTGGTTAGGTTGCCTACTCAATTTTGACCCTTTCATCTTGAGTCTGCCTTGGCATTCCGGTAAAGTTGTACGGTCAACAAGAATGTTTCGTCAGTTTGCCTTCACTGCAACCGCTTTTGGTCTCAATGGAATTCTAATGCCTCTGGAACCTCTTAAACATCGTGTGTAATAATTGGTTCACAGTATTAGTAATAATCAGTTGAATTGATTGTTCAAGGAACCTTGTTTTATTTCATTTTCAGCGTTTATTTTCGGTAACACTTCCTTGAAAACTAACTTGGCTGCTATTCTCTGTGCTAAATCGGCTAACTATAAGGGCATTAACATATGTTTTGGTACTAACTGTTCATGATAGCCCTTCTGCCTCAGTTTTTAATACAGAATTAAAAGGACTCTCACTGTGATTCCTCAAAAAAGCTTCAATAAAGCGCTTTCATAACGTGCTCCGGAACCACATTGACATCAAACAGTCCCCCCAGTAGGGGACCTTTTCCGTTACGATAAATTGTTGATTTAATTTACCCATTGCCAAAGACTTTTTGACTACAGTAGTGCTTGTTTTATCATAAGTCTGAAGAGGTCTGACTAAATTACCCATTTACCTGTAACGTGTCTCGCAGTCACTGTTGCCTCTACCTTTTGTTACATGGAATGATGATTGAACATTTGGCTCACTTGTCACATAAAAATCACCATCGGCTTCCGCTCTTCGCTAGTACTGAATACTCACACAGGTTTAGAATGAAGCGTCTCATTCTTCTCGACTCTTGCTCTCGAAATTTCCTGCAGTGGTATCGCTGCTCGAGTCTCGGTGTCGTGTACGCACCCTCGTGGTGTTTGTCCTATCGACCTTGGGAGTTGCACCCCATAGTCACTTATTTACCCCCTCAAGTACTGCCATCTGTACTTGCATCCACCTTAGTCCTACGAGATCTCTGTAAATTGTTAGCCGCTACCTAAACTTCAAAAGTTGCGGTGGTGCGTGAAGACGTACCTCGCTGCGTTTCATTACCCATCGATACCATAGGTACTGGGGTACATGGGCTCGTGTGTGTACGTGCGTGTGTGTATTTAATCTCAAAGTATTGGCATTATGACCCCTCGTTAACCCATAAATTATTTATAAATGTTATAAACTGTGTGTGCCTATGTACGCCCGCGTGCGTGTGTGCGTGCGTCCATCGCGTTGCGTTATGCGCGGTACGGGTTTGTGTGTGTATGTATGCAGCGCTTTTGGTGGCCAGCGTTCCGGATGCCCTCTTAGCTTTTCCCACTATCTCTCTCTTCCCACTCGTTCTCCTTCATTACCTAGGAAAGATATTTAGCCAAGTTACATGTGCGTGTAAGTTTGCTGAGAACAGCGTCATCTCCCCCAGACCTATTAATGTCTTGTTTACTCAACACTGCCTCCATCTGCCACAGCATCTGTTGGAGGATTGACTAACTAGTGTATGGATTTCCCCTCTAGCAAATAGGGCTTAGGCAGAGGTGAGGCAGTCACTTCTAATTAGTGTACGGTCTTCGGCTCACTTTTAACTCCTTAAAACTACCAGGCTACCTCTCTAGTTGGTTGTCTCCGATAGATGTAGTGCAATCCCATTGTCATTGAATGTGATTGTCGTTTCTGCCATCACTCACTGATTTTAATCACAGAGGGACTGTTTCCACTTCCCCTTCTAGCCTTCTTTCTAACCGACTGCTGCGTACCTGTATGCTCCAATTTGACTTCTCGTGTCGCCACGATGCTCTACAGGACTGTACTTCTTGTTCTGTGTCCACGTGTGTGTGTGTATGTAATACAATGCTTAAATTAAACATTTTTGTGTGCATATGTGGTCAAGCCTGTGAAGGCAGTAGGAGCGAGGGCCTGTTTCCCTCACTCAGTTACCGAACACGTGTGTCTGCGATACTAGCGACTGCATGCGACTTTCTTCCTCCCGCCTAACTACCCCTTACTAGCTCGATGCCGTCTTCAACTTTTCCGGGCTAATTTTGCATCTCTATATCCAACAGACCGTTGTGTTTAGTGGATTTCGATTGTCCTGAGACAAAAAATAGACGCGCATTTGTCGTAGCAATTAAGTAAAACAGCTTGTCGTCACTTCAACTTTATTCTAACCACAACTGTGTTACAGCTGTTATTGTGTGGGCTTGGTGGGGTGAGAGAGAGGGAATGAGCGAACCAGCCATTAGCCCAACTTGCGTCACCATCATCACCTAACCTATTCCAATGGGCGCGGGTGGTTTTTTGGTAAGGGCTTTGCGTTATCATGTGGTGAACCATCTTATAACCACCCTCTACTTGAGCCCAACACCACATTAGGTTAGCTGCGCTTTCAAATCCCTAATAGTACACCCAAATCCTGTTCACAAAATCTCGCCTTTGTGCACAAATCACCTTTAAAGTGTCTCAACAGTCGCTGTACTTTTGCTCAAAATTTTACCGTGCTCGATTCTCTATCCTTCATTTGATTTGTGTAAAGTAAGCAGATTTTAGGTCACGCCGGTGCAACCATGACGCCTCGATGACTCCACAAGATCCTTCAAAATCAAGTACACCCGTACCAGCATAAATACTTATTTATATTAATAATAAACACCACTTTTTATGATCACACCCCCATTTTTATTGTTTATGTTTAACACTACCATTTGTTTCAACTGCAGACCCGACATTGCCTTCATTTTCAAGGCAAATAGCATCCGTAATTCATTTACATCTGTTGTGCGTGTGTGTGTGTGTGCTGCGCTGTAAATCCCCTCCTTACGGCTAACCTTAGGAGGCACGGACAGAAGCGAGACGGGATTGCGGCGCAGAATTGCATCTAGTTTATGTGAAAATGCTTTCCAAAGGGCAGTCTCTCACAGCCGTCAACTGTGTTTGCGTTGGAACATTTGTCAAAATGATGGGGCCATTTTCCGACTGCTCTTCCTTTCACTCTCCCAAATGCTGCGATTTTATAGCAAAAATTCCATGATAGCGGTGCCTTTCGGTATGAACGAAATAAACTTACTTCGGTGCTTCTCTACTGACTAATGAGGCGCGCTCTCTCGCGTCTTTGTTGTTTGGGTGTTAAAGGAAATTTTTATAGCCATCGGTTTCGTGTGTGCACCACTAATCACCACTTAGTCCTCACTCGGAGGAGGGATAAGTGGGTTGGCTCTTTGTTCTACTCTTTCGCACCTTGGGGTGCAGTAGTTGTGGCTTCTCTCGTACCTATTTAGGCCCCCCCCGGCCCCGATGTATCAAGTATTTCAGACATCTTCATTTGTCTTTGTACTTTGGGTTGTACAACAAATCCGTCCGTATAGATGACAAAGAAAGCGTAATTTCTGTAAAATACGAAAGCTTAAAGTATTTGTATCCAATTGGTGTAATTATGATTTTGCTTCTAAACTTTTTTGGTTGGTATTAGTACTCTCCGCATAAGTTAACTACTAATTCATCTTAATTACTGCCCCCCTTTTAGCCCCCGAGAAGTTGGAACAGCGCGCAAAGCCGAAGCGCCGAAAGCAACATCTGACAAACGATGATGGGGATGGAGGTGGTGGTGGGGGCGGAGGAGGTGGGGGTGGTTCAGCGGCACCGCCGGGTCTACTCCCCTTCTCCACCCCCACGGGCGCTGTCGGGGCCTTTCCTGTCTCAGCCACCTCATCTGCCACTCTGCACCACTCACAACACCTTCAGAGCCCTCGTATGTCCGCTTCACACTTCCCCACTGATGCGCACGACTTCATGGCTTCACGAACTTTCAACACTGTGAGTTGCAGCCTAGCAACCTTTCCTCTTTATGCATTTTGCCCACTTAAAGTAGCGTATTTTAAAACCTGTTTTTTTTTGCTGTGGTAAAGTTACCTTTCACTTGGAGTGGTGGTGACGGTAGTAGGTTGTCACCCTCATGCGCGTGTTCCCTCACCCCACCCCATCCTCTCTTGAAAACACCCTTACAAGCTAATTAGCTTTTCACACGCTGTCACCGAGTCGACACTCACCGCTCTTCCCCTCCGAAAACTGGCGTTAATCGTTCTTGCTTTGACTACTTTATTAACTTCGTTTGAAAGATGTGGAGATGTTCACGCCCCTCCCCTACCCACAGGTCATTTGCGCTAGTCTTTTCTCCCTCGATCTCTTGTGATTTGCGCTTTTAAAATGCTTATCCTCAAGCACTTGGCTTTGTGTTTATCTTGTTTTGCAGCTTGAATCTTCAACATATCCTTAGTTGTGTCAGCTAAAGTAGAAAGGCCTTTTGTCTTATGCAAAATGTGCATAGCGGCCACTGGAGTATAGGCTCTTGTGAAAGGCAGTAAGGCGAATGGTGAAGGTGCAAGCGCCTACAGACTACCGCATCGACCCGTGGACGCTACACTTGCCTTGCGCATGTGCACGCTGGCGTGCACCGCTGTGTTCTGTTGAACCCCGAGGTCGTGCAGGGTGAGGTACACATCTACCCGAGTACACAGCACAGGGTGTGAGGATGACCTCGTACGCACAGACCTTAGAGGTGTACGCCCATTGCTGTGAGGACGCGACCTCGTGAAGTGCGTGTGTGCGTGCTATCGTGTTTCTACTTGCCTGCTTTGGCTCTTCACTTCGTCATTGGGGCTACTTTTCTTACAGTCACTTTGTTTTCATCACTCTCCTCTTTCTTCAGCAGTTTTTTACCCACTGCCTCGAACTGTCTGTTACTAAGCATCTGCCTAGGCGCCTCTCGATCGCTTAGTGGATCTGCCTATCAACGCACGACGTTGTAAAATAGTAAGGACTACGAGCATCTGTATTGACAGTGTGCATTCACGTTGTATGACTCAGTCAAAGTGGAACAATGCACTCCTCCTTCCCCCTCCCTAATGCGCTATTTGTAAGGCGAGTGGACATCGGCAGCCCTAAACTGCATCCAGCATGGCCGATATTCTACCCATTTACTGTGCACAAATAGGGCCGAATTTTGTCTGGCTAAACTCGCCTCGAAGTAATTCTCGTTGTGAATCTCGATAAACACTTGTTTACCGTTCGCACATACCGCCTTCATTGGGGGGGGGCTTTTGATTTACAGTTCAAATAACATTGTCGTATTCATTCACTTCTCATTCCTCTCTCATTTTCGTGTAGATACACGTTCAAATTGTGCTGTCAGTGCGTTACTGGCGTTGGTATGGCTGCTGTTCTTGAATGGCGTAGCGCGTTCTTACGAATCCGCTTGTGCGCGTGTGACCTCGGATTGTGTGTGTGTGTGTGTGTGTCTGTGTAGTGCTCGTGTCCTTATGAGTTCACACCGTTTTCATGTGTATACGTGTGTCATCTTTTTCTTTCTCTGCGTTACCTCCTCTGTCCCCAACAAAATATTTTCTGTTGAGACCATTTGCTATTGAGTCGCCCTACCTTCTCTAGATAGTGCCTTCCGCTTTAACGCATATTTTGGGTAATGAAAGTTGATTGTGCTACTAGGATCATGTTTCGGGTTACTCACAAGACGATTGCTATCGTCTCAGCTTTTAACGTTTTGTGCCCCTCACCTTGCAAACTGGTTATCAGTCTCATTTTACGATTATAACATGTAGTTAATGTCAATTTGCTCTTTTGAAGTGTTTTGATCAGTCAGTTTTCAGGTTGGTTGTTCGTATTCTCTGAAGTAAACTGCAGGAACTGAGTTTGCTATTTCGTGCCTGTTACAGCTTTTTTGGATGTTTTTTCCATTAGTCTGTTTCCCCATTGTGAAATTGTTGTTCGAAAGAACTGTTCCCCTCATACCGAGGCTTCACGATCTGTGGAAATGGCTTAAGGCAACGTTTTGACTACTCTGTTTCTGCTCCATACCAAATATTTCATTCCTATCCGGCTCGCCTTATCCGCTTTTTCCCTGCTTCCACCCTTATCAAACACTCCCTTCTTCCTTCCTTCCTCACTGTTGCTGCCCATAATGCCAGTTCCGGTTTTATGATCAGCGATTTTAGTTCCGCTTTTACGACCATTAAGTGCTCTCTCTCACTTGACTCTCGCCTGCCTCTCGTTCAACTACCTACACACCCACCTCCTCTCTCCTTGCGCTTGACATCTTTATTACTTGACTTATGTCTCCGCTCTCCTTCCTTGATGCCTTGTTTTTTGCGGTTGACGACTCGCTCTTGCGACTGCTAAAACTGACTTGGCAATAGTGCAGGCGTTTATGGCCCTGGTTCCGGGTTCCACTGCGCCACAATGCTAAAATACCACAGTATTTTTAGTTTCTTTCAGTACCAAGGGTTTGATATGAGTAGTGCCCAAATTGAAACTGCGCAGCTCTATTTGCTGAAATGAGTTCCAGTGGAGGCTATTATTTGTTACTCTGTCTTTTACTATGCCTGCCGCAGGAATAGCAACGGCAGAGCAACTTGTGGTAGTCTCGTGTCTTTGACACATGACTCGTTCGAGTGTCTACATCAACTGGCTTGTTAATTACCCAGCTAGATCTGCACCACTTTGGCGCTCTGTTTTGTTTTAGAAAGGATTATTCACGTTCATCAAGGGCAACTGAATGAGTGGCTAATGATATGCGCGGGTCTTTGTTGTTGTTTGACTTCATACTCATCAACTTCTTGTGGTATAATTTCTTCTTTTGAGATTCAAATGGAGCTCTTGTGCTTGCTAGCCTCAGTCTTCTTAGGCATGATCCACTTTTCTGTTTCCTCATTTTAATCTTAGAGCGGCGTGTCTTTATACTCTTTGAAGCAGGGCGTTTGGACGTTGTTTTGCGTAAACTCTGTTAGCATTACCTCCTGCTATGGTTAATATAATTTCTGGATTTCAACCTTTTTTCCCTAAGATCGGTAATTATGCTAGCATAATGTATCCCCTGAAAGGGCTTTACAACAAGGAGACCTGTCTGATTGAGCGGAATTTTGATTCTTCAGCCGTTGTAGGGACTTATCTAAATTATTCAAATTGGCAGTTGCTACTTCGTTACACCTCAATGCCCCTCCCCTCCCGCAATACCTATGCAGATCAACTTTTTGCGTTCCGTCCTCGTTCCCGCTTGATTTTGCATTAGCAATGTCGTCGTTCCAATTTTAAGCTCCACTAAGTGCGTGAACATCTTCATCGTTTTGTGTCCAATGGGCTCAATTGTTACGCTTCGTGGCTGGTACACTGTGTGATTGCCATGGCTCAGTAAGTAACCTGCATTTGTGGCTTTGTTCTTTTCCTCTCAATATTTCAAGGCGGCAGGCAGACACCTTTTCACAAACAATCTGGTTAACTAACTTTTTTCTTCAACAGTGTGTCGCGATATGCCTAAATCAGTAATCACGCTTTACTTCCACCACTATGCTTTCAGCGTCTATCGGTTGAAATGGTGCGGTAAATTTCATTTGGAGTGGTTTCTACGGTATTAAGGTGTGCAGATCCCACTGTTTGGTGTAGTTTTCTTATCTTGTTGGGGTACTTCCTGTAAAATGGTGGTGATGGATTCTTCAGACATATATCGGTCAACTCCTTGGTTATACGGGCATGCCACCGTTTACTAATTTAATATCCCTAAATATATGAACCACTGTTTATTCTAATGGGCCAGATCAATTTCTTTTATGGCAGATGCACCACTATCGGTGGCTTTGCCTGATGCTTTCTTCAAACGAGTAGCCCTTTGTGGGCTGAGGTCGTTGCCGTAGTTGGGGCGTATGATTCGCTTTGTCTGTTGCTCCCACCTGGGATCGCGTTGGTTGGGGTGGTTGGCACATGGAAATTTCTGTGCTTAGAGGCATGCATCCAACTAGCTATGTGTGCTATCTCCATGTTCGTGGAGAGGCGTGTGTACAGCTGCTATGTGTTGCCAGTAAGTCACGTCAACCGCTCTGCTGGCATGCACACGCGTACACACACGCTCGTATTCACATAGCTCTGAAGTGCATAGCTTCGACACACCTCCACCACCAGCACCACCACCGCCACTCACATTATGGGTAGCCTGTAACGCAACCACCACTGCCGCCGCTGTTATCGTTTTTCCGACCCTAACATCTGGAATGTAGTTGCACACACGTGCCCAGCATTTGCCTGACTGTTGGTGATGCCTCCCGCTTTCCATGCTACCGCTCAGCTCACTCCACCATACCAGTAATTTGCGCCTAATACGCCCCACCTTTGATGTGCTTGCCACTTGGCCTGCCTGATGAGTGGTAAGTGTGTGTGGTTCAAGTTCTGCTGTCACTGTCAAATGATTTCAAGGCTGTGTAAGCCCTAACTACTGTCTTTTTAATCTACTGGGGGCTTTTGTGCTTGGAAGGACGCGCTCACGTTTGAGATTGCCTTAGTCCGGTGTGTGCCTTTGTGTGTGTGTGCATGTGTGTGTGTGTGTGTGTGTGTGTGTGTGTGTGTGTGTGTGTGTGTGTGTGTGTGTGTGTGTGTGTGTGTGTGTGTGTGTGTGTGTGTGTGTGTGCGTGCGGTAGGTTCTTTTGATGGCACAAATCCCTAATCAAGACACTGCTGTGGGTGGGCCTCCAGCTTATTGTTTGGTGTGATGATCCTTTTTGCATTCATATTGATGCCACGTCTCCCTATCCATTTTATAAACAACTTTTTCAATTGTTGAGCTGTTGAGCGCTTATTCTACTACCTTGAAGGCTTGATCTCGTGCTAGCAGCACGTGGAAACGCTAGTTCTTTCATTCTCACTCCTTCTTTCGTTGTCCTCAAGTCCTTATTCACCGTTCTTATAAACGTTTTTGACTTGGCAACAAGTTGTTGCATAGTGTCTGAAGAATTTAAGAACTGATGGCATAAGTTTTTGGGAACCTGACAGAGCACTCGTTTTTTTCTGTGCAAAGCGCAGCTCGACTTGTACTTATGTGCGAGGGTTATCATTAATAAGAAAGGCAAATTAAACTTACCCGACTGTTTCTTTTCTGAATACCAACGGCTTTACATTTGTGAATTTCACTAGCTTCAATAAATGTCAACAGGGCCATAATTTACTCGCTGTTTGCTGCGAACTTAGATTGCAATTCCATGCTTGACTGACTAATCTGATCTGCTGTACCATTCATTCCTCCCCTTTGCAGCAAGCGGTACCCCCAGGCACGTGTGTCTAAAATATGTTGGGGCTTCTAGTTCCCCTTCCCCCTCCATAAGCCATTCTCATCTCCGGCCAAACCAAATGGACAGGAAATTACCCAAACTGTGTGTCCTTGCTGCTGCTGCCCTACCAATGACGTGCAATTTTAATTCTGCTTCATTCGTGATAACTTTATGCATGAGGGAAAAAGTCGTGCATCGGGAACTTTTATTTATCCGGCAAACTTGACTTCCTATGTTCTGGTTGAATTTTAAGGAAGAACACAAGGTTTTATTGCTTGGCTTTTTTGACTTGTTCGAAACGAATCGACACTTTAGCGTAAGTTGTGGGCCACTACGATGTTGTCAGCTGGACTCATGTTTCGGACATCATTTTGTTTCCTGGATGGAATCAAGGGGGATTCACCTTATGACACCCGACACTGTATTTGAATTAGCTCAATCGATTCATATTCTTACCCACACGAAGTTGTGAATCAACGTGTGGCGTAAGTTGTCTTTTCCCGAGGTGAAAGCAACTTGAGTCGATTGGAGGTGAGAGGCTGATGCTGTGTTTTCAATACTCTCACTGAAGCTAATCACCGACATGGCGGGTTCCTGCGCCGGACAGGGTCAGTTCATGTCGCTGAGCGGGCTGTCCGATCCCCAGGCGGCCGCCGCTGCTGCAATGAAGTTCCACCTAGCCATGGCTTCAAACACTGGCCGGACGAGCGCTGGCACCACTGGTGCCGATACCTTCGATCATCCCGCCTCACACCACCGTCTGCCACCACAACCTCCACCTTCGGGTCAGTTTGCACCTCCCGAGGCGCCCTTCCTGCCCGAAGTGAGCTCCGCTGCTGCAGCTGCTGCCGCCGCTGCGGCTGCCGCTGCAGCTGCTGCTGTCCCCTTCCTCGATGCCAGACTTCCTCGACCGACCGCCTGGCAGCAACAACAGCAGCAACCTCATTCTCTGCCTCATCTTCCACCGCCTCGACTCTCCTCAACACCCTCCGAGACCGCCAAATCTATCGAAGTAGGTGTCGCTTTCCCTATTCTGTCGTGACTTGCAAAGCGATGACGGTGGTATATTTTGGTCTGGCCTTTTTCTATTGAGAGAAAGTAGATGAGGAAGGAGGAAGGGGTAGCTCAATCAGGGTAGAATATCTCTCAGGAGGGGAGGGAGGAGGGCCATAGTTTGCGTGCACTCCTTTCTCCTGCCCAACTTTGGGTTGATCAGATATAGGAGTACCATCGTCTTTCTCTTCAAAGTTTGTGATTCGTTGGGGATGCGGAAAGTAGTGGCAGCAGCTCACGCAAAGTCGGCGTTGATACCGCTGAATTGCTGCACCGACCCCTTTTTGCCTCTCTGCCCCGTGCGCGTTATCTGTGGATGCAATCGCAGTGCCTGTTGTCACATCACGAACGCTGCTCTCACCTTGTAGGTGATTTGTCACTTTCACCATCTCTTTTCCTTTTCATCCACACCTGTGATTGGTCACCTTAATTGGCTCTGGTTCGCAGATGAAAATTTCTGGGATTTATATTAACCATAAGTAGTCCTTTCTCGCTTTTTCCTATGTCGCGTTACTTGCGCTGCTAGGAGCGATCGCTATCCGGTTAATTTGGCAAACCTGTGTTCTTTAATAGATTGGGGGAGGGTTGTTTTGTTACAATTTCACATCAATTCGCGGCATCTAATTCTTCACGAAACTGGTCTTTACGCCTGGGAAGATGTTAAGAGATGAGGAATCATTGATCATCTTGAAGCATAGAAAATTCCTTTTAAAATTGTATTATTTACAACTGATTCTCACCTGCTTTTTATTCAAGTCGGTCTTATTACGGAGCCTTTATTCACGTCGTGAAGGTAAGCGGGTACAGCTCTTTGTTCATTTCCACAATATTAGCTAAAACTGCTTAATCTTAATTCTTTTCTATTTATCGTTGCAACTCCCACTTGTAAGAAGGTTATAACATGCAACATAAGACAAATACGAAGCTAGTTGGCCGAAAAGTAACGGAAATAAGAGCATCTTTGGTCGGGTTCAAAATTTGCGCGGATTTTCAAAAGTTGTTTAACTTTTGGGGCTTCTAATGTTTTCTTCACATTAATAAAGTGCCAACGAATGCTAGATGGATGCAGACGAAAACTGCGATGTAAAATTTCACTCAGTGATACCTCACTAGCTTTTCCTGATAACTCCCATGTTGCGCTTGTGCAGAGCCCCTACTCAGCGGCCGCTACACCGACGGCTACAGGGTGCTCGGGTTTGCTGCGGCCACGGCAGTGTCGTTACCGTGACTTCCAGAGCCTTTGTTATCACAGCACCTGTCGTCGGGCTTTGTTGCGGCAGCACCGTCGCCTACTGAACTCCTCCTCCTCCTCCTCTTCCTCAGCAGTTGTGGCTGCGGAGGCGGGTGGACTGGAGTTGGAGCGTCCAGACGAGCGGCTCTTCACGTGTCTTACGGAGTGTGTGCAGCGTATCCGTGAGCCCTTCTCGCCTGAAGAGCCGTTGGACACTCATGCGGCGGAGACTCTGGAACAGGAGTACAACCGTATGGACACCTGCATTCGACGCATCATACGTGTGGTCAAGATGCTCCCTTACTTCAATGAAATCGGCAAACCTGCTCAACTGGGTCTTCTGAGAGTAGGCGTGCTACCTCCTACTTTCCCCTATCCCTGTTAAACTTCTTGGGATTGAAGTGTAATATGTGCTACTCATGATTATTTATTTGCCACTGTAGGGGAATTTGAGTCATTTTTTGGCCCTGCTGTAGTAGAACTATGGCTTCTATATGATCTGACCCTCTATGAACTATCACAGGAGGCGACATTTAGTTTTTTTCTCAAGGCGTTTTTTGGATATGCGACACATATTCGACAGTTTTCGTCTCCCTCAATTAGTATTTCAAACTTTGCGGTTCAGTTTTTCTCTCGGCTCCAGAGTTGGGTTACTAGGCTGGCGAATCCTCAAGTTGTTTTCATTGTAGGAAGTGATTGCTCCAATTTCTCGGTAATTATTAGTATCTAATTTCACACGGCTAAATTTTAATTTTGAGCGATCAAAGGAAAGGCCGGTGCTAATGCCTATTCATTTGGATCATCTGAGAAACAACGACGAATAACGCAACCAGTAGAGGTAATCCGGAGGATCAGGTAGTATCTTACTCGTAGTTTAGCACACGAAATCAATGCATAATTGCATAATCGGGATAATTTTTTTTTTGCTCAGCATATACCACTAATGCCTTATTAGATAAGTGTGATCAGTGATTGACGTCAACATTTGTAACTGTTAGATCGTGGTGACAACTAATTTTTGCAGTCTACTAATGAAAATCTTTTTAGTCTTGATGAATTGAAGCCAAAACGTGCAATTTTTGTTTCTATGGGTGGGTTTGTGGCAGGCAAGTGTACCAACTTAATTATTCTTTATCGCAGGCAAATATCTACGGGATGATAGTGCTCTACTCCTCCTTCTTCTTTGAGCGTGAAATTAGGAAGTTGCGCTATCCTGTGAAGCAGGCAGACGGAAGCCTCACCACCGTTACGGTCTCCATGTTGGACGACCTAGCACCCTCCGTGGTCAGCGATGAAAAGGCCTTTTCTGCCTTCCTTTCCGGCAAACATCGTCATGCTGCCTCTGCTGCTGCTGCTGCCACCAGTCTGAGGGAGGACTTTGAGCTCTATAAGGTGAGTGCACCTTTGATCCCCTTATTGTCTTTCGGCTCATCTATGCTGCTTGAGTCATCTTTGAAGGTGTGGTGGGCAGAAAGGTTGGCAGCTTGGATGCCTTAGTCAGAACACTAGGCAAATCATTTGCAGTATTCCTGCCTTTGTCATTGTGTTGCCATTTTCAGTTTTGCCAGGTTCCCAAGCCGAGTGAATCTCAATTTGAAGAGGTATCATTTGTTCGTATGACTCAATCAGATATATTTATGTTTATTTGTCGAATACAAATGTTTTTAATTCGTTCAAATCTGGTCTCGCCTCATTATCGGAAATGATGTAGTACTTGAAGTTGAAATGATGGCCAAAAGTCGACACAATTTCCTTATTATTTTGTTTTGAGTGTCTCTGTAGATTGGAATTAAGATTCGCGATTTTCGGAGGGGTTTGCTTACTCCCACCACCAATGCACCACTTGATTCGTCTCTGAAGATGCGGCGAAGCAAATCAGTCTGGACATAGCAGCAACTCCTTTGAGCTGTCTGCTTGGTGCAGGAGTCTGACCTTTACAGGCGTGGCGCTTGTGGACTAGCATTAATGGCAAAACCTGATGCTCTATTACAGGAGCTTTAAACTACTCAAGTACTCATCCACATTAGCCTTTCTAGCCGACTACGGGGCAATTTTTCCCCCATTGTGTATTTATGTACGTGGCTTGGCGTTTGGCTCTACTGTGCTTTCAAGGTCTAACCGCAGAAGACCATCCTTAACCACTCTGACTGAAGTAGCCTACTTGCACAAGAAGTGTACTTCCCCGGTTCACTTCGATGTTTGATGTAGGAAGTTAAGCTCTACAAGTTGCTCATTTGTAAATTCAGCTTGAAGCCTGGGGTCTGACTCGTTCGCTGCCGGGGTCTCGGAGAAAGGTCTACTGCTGCAGTCTAGATTTTCGATTTTCATTTGACAACAATACTAAAACTGTTGCTCAAAAACAAAATTAGGTTTGATTGCCCCCACTGGGACTATTATTTATCTCCATTCTATTGGTCTAAGCTCGGACAATTTGTTCGTAGGGTGATTTCGTTCAGTCATTTCTCCCAAACTAAAAAGGGACACTTGTAACCTGTTTGTGTTTCCGGGCTGGTAGCCGACGTGACGACTGTGGTCTGCCTAAAAGTAGTTGATTTCCTCTTGACATCACAATACGTGCCTCTTCCACTATAAAGTAGACAACTGGTGTGGGCTGGTGCCCCGTTAGCGTCAGAAGAATAAATCAGGCATTTAGGAACACATCAGACATCTGCTTCCAAATTTTACCTGTTGAACGTCCTCTTAACCTTCTTTTAGTTCCCTTGCTCCTCCCCAATGGGTTCTTTGTACGTAAGGCACGTGCATTGGCTTTATCAAAGTGTATTTCGGAAGAAGCAGCTCTTCAAGAGCAATAATCGCCTTGAAATTGGATCTGATTAGTCTCCTTTGCTTTTCCAGAAGATTGTATTAACGCGTAGAGACCTACAAGTCGCCGTTATTGTTTACAGTGCAGTTGAACCGGTAGGCTAGTAACCCCGGCAACAATCGTAATATGGGAGTCTACTAGGATCTGCGGACAATTAAAGCATAAAGTTCAAAGTCGCGAAGGACCGTCTTGTTACCTGGTTTCCCCTCAGCTCGCCAAAGTGGCACTCTCTATGTGCACAAACGCGTGTATTTTAGATTTGTTACAGATTATCTACCGGTGCCAAAATGAAGTCGATGGCTAGTGTAGGTGTACGTGCACGCTCTGACCATCTGGCATTCTATCAATCTCCTTTCATGCATCAGGCGAACACGTTGGCAGCCTTCAACCACTTGGAGGAGTTAACTGGGGAGGACGACATCCTACGAATGACGCTGTTAGCGATTAAGCTCTTTTCCGATGACTCGCTATCGGACGAGTTGCAGTCGGTGGTGGTGTCCTCGAAGCGCGTTTACCTCGTCTTCCTTTGGACCTACATTCGGTGGCGTGCGGGCCCCAAGCACCTGCGCCAGGCCACCGAGCTCTTCGCTCGCCTTCACCTTGCCTTCATAGATTTGCGCTCCCTAGAGATCCGCATGACGGAGTTTGCCAAACTTGTCTCCCTCGAGGGCCTCTCGCCCCTTATGCGCGAGATTTGCTCCCTTCGCTCCAACGGTAGCAGTGGTGCTGGGGGTGGTGGGTGCAGGGCGATTGGTGGTGGGGGACCCGTGTAGGGTTGAGCCTTCACCCGCCCCGTGTGTGTCTTTCAGGGGGTGAAATCGTCATCCTCTACTGCCACGCCGTCACTCATCCACCAGCTTTATTTCCTTGCAAGCGTGAGTGTATTCACTCGCTGCCGATGACGCTGATACCAAATTACTCCCAATGACTTGACACTGCGAAACGCCATGGATTTTTTTCACTTCCATCCTTTTCTCCCCTTCTCTTTCGCTCTTTCTAGGCGGACCACCCACCCACCGGCATCCATAAATTACACCCTCTCCTCAACCCTGTCTACTTTGGCTCCCATCTGTAAATACATATACTACAAACTAATGTTGCATTCTAATATATATACAGAAGACACGATATACATACAAACACACACATACATAACCCTAACATTAACGATATTATTACTACTATTGATATTATTAACAACGATGATGATACAAATACACGAATGAGTGCCATTACCTCTCCTCGTTTCGTCTTCCTCCATTAGGGGTTGTGACGGGAATAACTTTGTTTCTTCTCAAAGTAGACATACTTGGGATGCCCTTAAGTTGGTGAGTATATCCCGTCTGAATTTTTGCAAATAAATCGGGATTTGTTTTCTATCAGTAAAACAATTGGCCATTTGCGCTCCTCCTAAGCACGGCTTCCAATTTTCACCGGATCCATGTTTTACCCCCGTTGTTTCCAGAGCGGTCACACAGTTCATTTCATAAAGTTTTTTTTATCTGTATCCGGTGCACAACTCGGTGATATAAGTGCTTTTTAAGTTGGCGCTCTCTCAGACTGCCAACTGTCTTGCGGCGCAAAAAAGTTGTCGCACTTTGTTCTCGGGCATTTTTATGCCAAGATTTGAAGTGTGCACCACCCAATCCACTGATGTGTTGTGTTGTGCCAGGCCCTAAACACGGCTGCAATGTCTGATGTCAACATTGGTGCTTGGTCGCTGATTGTCTTAGGCACTAGGCTTGAGAGTTGATGCATCATTCTTGATTTTGATGCAAAGTATCAAGCTTTCGATTGTCTGGTGCATACTCTTGCTTAGTGCAGGCCTTTCTAAAACCGAAATCGCCATTGTTGTTGTTGTTGCGTGGAGCGCGCTGTTTCAAGCCCAAAATGGAGTCACGTGAGGACGCAAGCTGAGGTAAGGCTAATGCTGACCCATGGAATTGGACTTGCTCGCTGCTGCTGACAAATTTTGCCCCACCTAAATCAGCAAGACTCCGTCCACATTTTTCCCCACGCGCCTCAGCCTCTCCCTCCCTTTCTCTCTCTCTCTCTCTCAGGAGTTTTCACTGGCGCAGTCAACGTCAAAATTACTGCCCCTCTATTAATCGCATCAAATGCAGATTTCCATTAAACACATGCTTGGCCTTTTTTTGCATGAGAGGCCGCCATTGGATTGGAGGGCCGCGACTCTGTTTATTACTGCGTTGTCCGATCTTCCTAAGTGGGAGGTTTTTTAATGCCAGCTTGTACATCCACTGTTTTTGTTGCAGAAAATTGTTCCTCTTCAGTCGCATAAACTTTGCCAGAGCTGATTAGCTGGCAAAACATGAGGGAACGAATTTCATCTGCCATACCAGTCATTAGGACTACAGGCTCTCTCTTTGGGCGGTAGCTATCCACGTCTTCGTATACTTTATTGCGACTAAAACCACCGATTAATCGAGTACCTACTGTTTCACTCTATCGCTCATCTCGCACTAATGTTTGATGGTTTGTTTACTAACTATGCGTTTCTTGCCCCCGGCTTTATTTGTTAGCCGCAATCCAACCGGAGAACGATAAACTGGTCATTGCATAGCTAATCACCGTTCTTACGGCTTGGACTAGTTTCGATATGCCTCATGACTGTTATGCGGGGCCACCATTGTGCGGAAAACTGCAGTATGATTTTCACCCTGACCATATTCAAATAATGACACTTATTTTACTAAGGAACTACTAACCTAAGATTAAAGATAAGTAGGGAATAGAAAAGAGATCAAAGATAGACACACTCATTAAAATAGAATATTAGAGTACCTCCACATCAGCTAGGTGATACACATCAATCAGCCGAAGGGTTGATCAGGCTTCACTCTGGGCGGATGCGTCTCTTCGCCAAGTTGTCAGCCTCAACGGCTTTACCACCCTGTGCCCTCTCCAACAGCGTGGGACCGAGGCTACGGGTACCCTGATGTAGCCTAGCCGCAATCGCCACGCCCGTATGCATCTCCATTGTCAACTTCGGAGCTGTCGGTACGGACGCCGGTGCTGGAACTGTTGCTGTCTCAGTGGATTCCGTCTGCCCTCTCTCCTCAGTATCACTCCTGTTCTCCATCGTCAAGCCGCTAACAAGACCAAGTGTTCTCACAGCTACACATTGTGTGAGTATCTTGCGTGCATACATGAGTGTACTCACCTTACTTGCCCATTCACGACAGGTTCACGGTTGGACTTTCAAGCGGGTAAAAGTCGTCGTGTGTTCAGTGAGTGCTGCACTGCTAGAAAAACAGCGGTGCGGTTGAACGTGACCTTTGGTTAGGGAGTGAAGTCGGTGTCAACATCGGAGTGGATAGCGATCTAGGATCAGTAAATTAATCCATTCCAGAGAGAGAGTGTGTTATCCCAGTATCGCGACATGGATACACATTCGTTTCATTCAAGAGCTATGATTTATTTACCACACTTTGATGTAACCATTGTGACAATTTACGATTGTAGGAAATTCCTGCTTATCTGGAGTGTTTACATTAGTAAAGGTAGCCGGTAATTATAACCCCTAGAGGAGGCACACTTTATCGCGTCCCTATGAGACTAAGGGAATCTCTTTGGCATTAAAAGATGTTTGCTTCAAAAGTCAGAATCAAAAGAATTTTACAATGCCTCCTATTACAGGCTGTAGTGGATAGGCATGTGTAATTATTTGTTTGTTTAACTCTCAGTTCGGGAAAAGGGGCCACTCAGGTGCCCCACTACTGTACCTTCGCCGAGTGGACTGGCCTGCTAGCAGTGTCAGTAGCCCCTACAACCCCTTCCCCACGTCGACAGCACAAGTTTGCCATAGCAGTAGGTCTCCTTCCGTCCTATGGGAGATTTTGGGTGCTACTGGTGCGCTCAGACCTGCCCACTTAAATGAAGGAATAACGTCAAATAGGCCATTATTTCTAAATTATTTCATCTAAATTTTGTGCCCGTGAATAATTTTAATAGAAATTTACCTGTTAATTTGGCTTCCCTTTATCGGTAATTATCAGGTGCAGTACCATTGTAGATCTGGAGACAAGTATTCAACTTGCCCTCCATAACCAGGAAGGCAGTTTTTCCCTTAGACAGAAGCAAGTGTCGCAACGCAACAAGAAATGTGAACAGCTATGGTGTGAGCCACTCGAGTAAGGTTTAAGCAAATAGTTTTTCCCCACATTTTCTACAATACTTTTTAAGTTAACCTTTGTTGGGTTTCGTCCTTTAATGCACTCATTCCAAAAATTTGCAGAGTCCTTCTCTGAAGATGGTAAGGCACGATATTTCCCCATTTAAATGCTGCAGAAAATGAGTTTTTTACATAAACATCATTAGATTTTTCAGGTGGTTAAGCATTTTAATTGATGTTCCACTTTGTGGTTGAAATGGCACAAACACTTTCTGAATTCCCCCTTGTATGCATCATCATTGATAAAAGGAACTGTAGCGCCCCAAGACTTCCTTGAACGCGGAAGAAGACGGTCTCCAAGCATAACTGTGCAGTCGACGTAAGAAAGGAGTTGTGGGGGCTACTGGCGTGGCCCGAAGGCCACCCCACCTTGCGAGGGTACAATAGGTGGACCCCAAGTGTCCCGTTACTAAAACCAAGGGTTAAACAAACAACTAAAGCACTGTAGAAATCAGTAAAAGTGATGCGTTCGATTTGCTAACTGTAATAGTCCTCATTTTTACTTTAAGCGTAGTTAGTTTATCAATACGATGTATTATCATTTTTGGATCAAATAATGCTTCACAGCACCTCCATGCCGACTGACTTTGGACAGGTTGAACTTTTGACAGCTGAGTCCTTTTTCGTAATTTTTGTCTAACGCCAGTAGCACATTTTGACACTAACTGGGCTTTTGAGTGGAGGAAATGGTACGCAGACCCATTAAAAATGTAGCAATGGCAGTAAATTAACATTTCATTGGTCAACGCCAGGTAGCTTAGGGGCGTTAGGCCACAGCGGTCGGAGTTGCCCAAGATGGCATGGCATGGCACAGGAGGCGAGCAAGAGCAGAGCGGTATAGGCGCCCGGAAGAACTGAAAGACTGTCATCGCAGGAATCCACGCTCTCGGCGAGGGGACCAAGTCCCAAGATCGTAAAAAAGCTCAGAATGCAAATTATGCACGCACAAAGCACTATCGCCCGGTAATACTGACCATATGCTCAAATGCTTCCATTTATGCTAAAATTCTAAAGTTGTAACACATTTTTTTGCTGAAAGAGGTTAAATATACGTAGACTGAAACAATTTTAGTATTTTAAGGTCCTCCTAAATTGCATTTTCGGAGTAAAATGTAGCTATTATTTTAATGCAACCCTCAGCTCTCCGGTTTGTCACGCCACTCAATAATCTATTCGTGGCTTCTAGGAGGAAGTAAGTTTAAAAATGGCGTTTTTTAAAAATACACTAATGCTGCTAATATGTAGCACCTTAGATGTTTGTTTAACTCTCAGTTTTGGTAAAGGTTTCACTTAGGCGCTCCACCATCCCACCTCCGCCGTGCCACCTGGCCTCCGGGTCATGCCGGAAGTCCCCAGCCATACTGTATGTCAAATGGTGCATGCTCTCTCCCGAGTACCATGTCTTATCCAGTCTTCAGAGAAGTCTCGAAGCGCCACATTACGTTTTATCAGAATTCATGGAAAGCACAAATGACTCTGGTAGGGTAGTCTGAATCCTAATTCCCCTCTCGCAGAGGTGTCTTTAACTGCAAATATTTCATTTGACTTAAATGCTAAAATCGGCCTTTTTCATCCCTCGCTTTTGCCTGTTTTGTCCCCCTTTAAATCACTGGGTGAAAACAATCACCAGGAGTACTCTCACCTTCTACTTTCGAATTGTCACGAAGCGCCTGTAAGGCGATCAAAGAAAACCATTTGATTTTCTTTTCTCCCGAGGGAAACAGGATTTTTCCACCCAAAGGTAAGGCATTTTGGGTGCGCACAATTTTCAACACAAAATACGAAGTACCTCAGTAGCAGACAGCATTATCATCATATACCATGCGAAATTCTGCTTGAGACTTCACAAAACGCCTTTAAAGTGTTCTCGGACTGCCGTTTCTAACTTTTCCAGGGTAACATTCACTTTCCAAAGATCGACACTGTTGTTACTAATTTTGTGTTCCCTCCGAAGAGACACAGCTCACGTGTACTTTCAGGGCTGATTATTTTATCCTTTAAAAATATGAGTTTCATTTAACGCAATTCCAGTTGCTAAAGCGGTCTCTAAAATGATACTGGCCAATCAACCAACAAAATCCTCATCTACACGCCTTTTAAATCAAGTTACAGTTTAAAACTACCTTTCAGGACAAATGTGACTGTAATACGTTAATTGTTTGTTCCCCTCACGGTTTTAGCAACAGGCTACTCAGGACTCCGCCACTGTACCTCCGCCGAGCTGCCAGGCACCTTCTCTTCGTCGGCAACACACATTCTGGGAAGTCTCGAAGTACCGCATTTATAACAAAGAACACCTTCCCCAATTTCTACTGCTAGGCAACAAGGCATAGCGTGACGCAAGAAGAGTTTGGACTACGGATGGAAGAATCTGTAACGATTCCTGTCAGAGGGGTTGAAAATGACGTCTACCACGGTGTCATGTTCTGCAGGAAGAGTATTAGCAACTGAACCAACCCTAGCCGTGAACCGTGTGAAGAAGTTCGTTACACGGTACCTCCTCCACCCTTCTATTTGCTGGATAGAATTTAGGCAGGTAGGTATGACTGGGCTGCACTGAAGTGGGAACAAGGTGAGAAGGAGGAACAAACATGAATTCTTACTCCCATAAAACTACTTAGAACACCGCCCCTTATTAAATTATTCTGCTTTTGGACAAGTTCTCTTTCGACTGGCGATGAACATGCGGGATGACCTACACATTCTCCTTTCCCTCAATACAGTGCGCAAACAGGACGAAACTCCAGATCCAGCGCAATTGTCAAGAAGGATCTGTGATATTGTGGTCAGATGTCGTCCCGGTTATATGCAAATTCCATGACTAGTGCGGTTGGTTCGTGGGCGTTTTCCCTTACGGCACTGACTGCCTTGTGATGACACGCGGGACGTTGACCGTGGCTGTCGCCGATAAAAAGAGGAGAGGAGCCAATTAGGGCTCCGCTATTGTACCTCCGTCAAGTGGTTCCGCCTCCAGGCTATGCCAGTAGCCCTATGCCCTTTCTGTAGGTCTCAAATACATATTATGCCCGAGTATTGTCACTAATCGTCTTCAGGGAAGTCTCGGAGGGTTACGTAGCGTCACCTGCGATGGCAAATGATTCAAAAGTATCTTTCATCAATACTAAAATGTGGTGACTATATATATGATGGATCTATCATGGATTCTAATCAAATTTCAACATTAGGCTGGCCAATGAGTCATGTGATATGATGAAGGGATGTGGTGTAAATGAATCGCGAAATTTCAAACCACCTTGCTTCCGTTGAAGTGTTAGCTACAAATCCTAGTAAATGCTCCCGACTTTCAATTCTTCCACATTAGGTTTGGGAGGATAGAAGAGGAAGCATTCAGTGTTTTCCTTTATTTTTGTAGGCGATTTCTGCATTTAAACATACTGGGGTAGATTTCAGGATTCTTCTTTCCTGTTCACCCCTTCATATCTGTATTTATTGCAATTTTCTGGAGTGAACACATTACACAAATGAAATTCGATGAAAATGCATTTGTCGCTTTGTGATGGGAGACACATCCATTCTCTGGTAAGACAATCGACCATTCACTTCTTGTTGACTACTTCAAGACTCCTGCTTAGTAGTGTTCCCCTAGATTTTACAAATTTTTCAAAAGCATCCGGAACGTAAAAGGGGTTTAACTACCCAAAGCTGGTCTATGCTCAAAGGCGCAGATAAAGTTGGAAATTGTAATAGTTGAACTTAAGTTTACTTCTAATGAGGAGACTATGAGAAGCAAAGTCATTCGTACCTGTGCTTCTTCATTATCCATCAACAGTTAATCAAGCTCAAAGTTAGCTTTTTCACATATCGGTAAATAAGTGAGTAAATAGATGTTTCTTTAAATGCCAGTGTCTGTCAATGAAATATCCACCCTTCAGTGAAACAACATTAGGTTAAACTTTTACTAATCTACTCGGGCTTTTGAGGCTCCATGGTTTGCATTTCTGCCTTTAGGCCTTTTAGCCATCCCTATGGCCCCATCGCTCCTCGGTAGTACTATACTAAGTCAAGATTTTTGGAATGGTATGTTTTAATGTGGCTTGGGAGAATACACGGAATGCTTCATTAGAGGCAGCAGCAATAGAAACCTATCAAAATGATGATCAGGCCTGACTTAAATGGAGAGTTATCTCCCGCCCCTAATGTGGAGGATTCGATATCTGCTTTAGATGGTCGTACCAATCCTACATAATAAGTACTGTTGGAACAAAATCAATTTTTGGTGTGTAGTAGATTTAAAAGAAAGGCTTGCTGTTACCTCCAACGGAAATATTTACATCATAATACTAGAGTATACTATTTGCCTTCCCTAATGTTGCACGCTGTTAAGCACCATGCAGTATTCAGCACCATTGCTCAAATGATTTTTCCTCGGATTTGGATAGTTTGACAAAGGACTTAACTCTCAACAATTCTGGTCAAAACTATGACATGTGCTAACATTAAGAGATAGCATTCTTCTTCAGTTGCAAATTTATCACTTAACATATTATAGCTCGTAATAATACAGTATCTTAGATCCTCTTTTGCAATATTTAACGAATCGCGCAAATATCCGGTTTAGCCAAGGCAAAGGGCACTATGCTCAAAAGAAGTAGGAGGTTGTGTGGTGATCTGATATTTTTCCAAGTGTATGGTTAACAACATGGGCTTCTCAGTCGCCAAGACCCACATTTCCGTCTTGGCGGGCCGGCCCTTTAGCTATATGAATAGCCTCTTAGCTTTTTTGCACGCAACATCGGTATGCATTAGCACAAAGGGACTCAGCGCTTTACAAATGAATTCGTCACTCTCTGTAAGAAAAGGACAACCGCATAAGAGAACTAGAAAATGTCTGCACATTTTGTTGAAATAATTCATTCTGCCTATTAGGAATAAAGTAAGCGTTCCTGTCGAATTAGCATAGTATAGTTTTTAAACACGTGCTTATGAACAACAGTGTGGGGTAATTCTAATGAAAATAAGAAGTTAAACTTATCTCACAAAATAAAACAGCAGGCCATTAATACTATTGAAGGAGCACATCTCAGAGTAGTTTTTCCTTAATTACTTATTATACATCTTGACTATTTGGGCCAAATAATGTATAAGAAGGACACGGCGCCTTTTTAACCGCTTTCGAACGGAAATTCCTACCATCAAATGGGTCAAATCCCATGTAGTCAAAGTACCAAATATGCACAGAAAATGTCCAAATTCTGCGTCTCACTTAAAGTGATAGTATTAGCGTTGGCCTTAGATGTGGCTTCTTGTAATGTAAGGAATTGGGGATAATTTGAGTGCTAGACACTGCTATCGAAGGCTTTAATTAGGCCCCCCAAAACGATACATTATATGAAGATTGGATCATGATTATATTGTTGGGGTCAAAATACACTCTACTGGGGGGATGAACATCTTGGGAAGCACAAGTAGGCAGCCGTGCGAGCACCAGGATGCTGCTGGCGAAATGTCAAGGTTCTCATGCAACCCCGACGCGTGCGATACGCTAGCGTTTTGTAAATAATATAACTTTGCACTCGCTCTAATCGGCCAAACAAGTCTGTGGAGCAGTAAACCCGGTGAAAGTGCCAGTCAATGCCAGAGCGCCATACAAACGATCTGTAAAATGATGCAGTCGGGTCATGGTTTTCCAACAAAGTGACATTTAAGGCAGCCTTGATGGTCGATGGCCAAACAACGCTTTGGCATCGCGCGAAAAAACTGGTGTTTTAGGGCAAGGTTTCATTTCACACAACCGCCCACTGCAGCACAATCGCCCCAAACACGGCTTCAACCACGCGAATGCCTGTGACTTCGTGGATCTTACTTGCACCTTGATTGACGCAACCCCAAACCGTGCCCACAGCTCTTCTATACGCCGACACCGATGCGCCCCATTACGGTTCCGGCGAAGGCTCGAGTCGCACGGGTACCTTCAAACGCCTCGGACAGCTTGCACTTCATCCAGCGACCCTATATACAGCCAGCTGCGCGGATACAGCACTCGTGGACGCCATCACTCCCTGTAGGAAGTCTAAACAAAACGCACCCCACCGCCGACAAAGCTGCAACACCATCCACCACCGACATTCATGGCAATGCTAAAGGTTTATTGATGCAGCCCAGAAAAGATAAGTGATAAAGTCATTTAGTTTATTTAGATAAGTACATAAGAAGGGACCGAAGTTGGGCGAAAAATTATCCTGCAGAAGGAGAGCTACACATATTCCCTACCCACTCTTGGCGGCTTTCATTTGGTAATAGGTGACAAAAAAGGGTATGTTAAAGGCAATGCCAATAAAGAGAATAAACTTTATAGCCAAACGGCGGGGATTTTCAATACTGAAGGGGAGATTAGCCCCGATATTCGCCTCCTCATCAATACTATGCTCTATGGCATCCATCTTGTCGTACAGCTTCTGTATAAAGGGTGGTCTTTTGATAATACTGCGCGAGAATACCGCGCTTGGTTTCGAAAGACGAAGCAATGATGAGCCAGTGCGACCAAAAGGACACAATGCCTAAAGAAATTTGGCGGACGGGCAAGGACCTACCCTCGTCAAAACCACCGCCATCGTGAACTGTGGTATGCGCTCATGTTGTTTAAGTCGGTAACCAAAAGATTAATTTAGAATTGCATTTTGGGCCATTTCCAAGCAATGCATATTTTATTAATAGCTTAAGACAAGTGTGTCTTAAGTTTTTAGAAACAGTTCAAGTGGTCTTGCTAAGTGTGTCTTAAAATAGTAAAGCACTGACCTTATTCTCAGATCTTGCATGAAGGACAAGTGAATTCATGTAACATATCAAGTTTAGCATATAATTTTTAAAATCTTAAGTTGCACTAGAATAGATAGGCATAGGAACGTACACAGTGCACTGAAATCGGTAGTGGCGCCATTGGCAGATAGGATAAAGACATGTTTCTGAATTGCTGCAAACCCCTTGTTAATTTACGAAATGCGTGAAAATTCTTAATTAAATACACCTTTAGGCCAATAAGCCGTTGATAGAAACCGACTTCGTTGCTGATCCAACACAAACCGTCACTGGTGTGAAAACTAGCACTTACTCCTTGCTAATATAAATAATTTGTAAGCCCCATTAATTGTCCAGACAAAAATCACTTACCTTTATTTTAGTTTTTTTCAAAGAATTTGGTTAGGGACGTCCTCCTCGATTGTATGTATTGTATGACAAATGCTTTGATTCCTTTCTTTTAACACTGTTCTCCTACTCCGTCATTGATAACAGTATTAAGGCGATGACGAGTTAGTTATAGTTAAGCATTAATTTTTAGCATGGTAATTTGCTGCCCCACCTATGGCACTACTTTGGTACATTTTATAATGAATTTACAGGTTGTCTGTATAATCTAAAATTATTATCCTAATGAATTACTGTCTGCCTTTTTTTCTGATCTAGTTGGATGTATGACTTGAGTAAGTACTGCTGGATTTCCCTGGATTTAAGTACGTAAGAAAATTGTGACGCTTGCATGCGTTTTATGCTTTCAAAGTTGTAACTAAAAGTAGCTATTATAAGATGCATTGCGGCATAGCTATGTATATCACTAAGGTTGGTTCATTGCCAACTAGACCAATCATATGTGAGGGTCCGACTTTGGTTCTAACTAGCCTTTGATAAGGCATTTCATTTATTTTCCCCTGGACTTTGTTGATGTAATCAGGAACCCAGAATAAGCTTTATCAGCAACTTATTTTGCGTCTCAAATAAACGGATTTGGCGGCTGTACTGACTCGTTTGCTGGTGATCCAGCACTTAAGTTCTATCTTTTTCGTTTGCATTGATTGTTGTCTAAATGCGGTTTTTTCTGGACATTTCCTTTGGCAATTACTTGGTTTTTTCTTTGCTTGGCTTCCACCATGGTCCTCATTGACTATGTTCTTGCACATCACTCTACTGAGTTTGTTCGTAGTGATAATATACTTCGGAATTTCTCAGTATTTGTAGCTATGTAGACACTCTATTTATGCACGCCCATAAATTTTGTGATCATTGAAACAATTTCGTGACCAAATACGCGTATATAGCTCATTATGGGAAGTAGTTAGGACGCCTTCTGTCTGGGGTTATTGTATGAGTTTTACTGAACTCAACCAAATAATCGCGGATTTCTCTCTTTATCCACCATATTTTTTCTGTCCTTCCGTGCTTTTTTTCAGAGCATGACATTTACGCCCCAGTAAGGCCAAGATGGAACTTTTTATCGTAACATTGACGGGGACTGCGTTTGAACTTCGCGTTTCTCCCAACGACACTGTTATGTCAATCAAATCGAAGATTCAACGTTTCGAGGGTATACATACTAGGTTATTTTAATTTCAACCTACTACTTCGATTGGTATTATTCATTCCCACTCCCTTTAGGCATCCCTGTGGGCCAGCAGCATTTGATCTGGCAAAATGGTGAGCTTTCCGATCACCAGTCTTTGCGGGATTGTAGTATCCCTGGTGGAGCCACGTTGCGCCTTGTTTTGGGCATGAAGGGTGGTCCAATTAGCACCTATAGGCCCCCGCCTGTTACTGCGGCGACTGCTACAATCAGGTTTACCCCTACCATTCACTTCGCTTCGTCTGTCCAAAGTAACGCTGACCGAGGAGACGATAATGATGACTCTTCATCTCCTATTCCCCAATCATCCCTCCTACATGAAAACGATGGAAACTCGGAAAGCCAGAAGCAAATAACGTTCTACTTTGTAAACACTAATGATAGGTTCGAATTCATGCGGGTCGTTGGTCGGTGAGTACTTTTACCTCAGAACGTCCACCATTTTACCCTAACGGCTCAATTACTGATTTACTGCGTTTCATCCTCTGATAGTCGTCATCGTGAAGACACTTCCTCAAATGGTCACTCCACAACTTCCCTCCCCAGTTCAGAGGAGTCTGCAGAGCCACCGCCTCCAGCTAGTCCAAAACCGCTCGTCTCGAGCAATCTCCTCTCTACTTCCGCAGCTGCTCAATCGTTACCCTACCTACAAACCGATGAGTCTGCGCTCAGCTGTGAACAATTGGCCCAACTTGCTTCAACTACCTCCGAACCCTCTGTTCTGAAGTCAAGCGACTCACAAAAGTCCTTGGATCGCCAGGCCTCTTCGTCCCCAACCACCACTACCGCCATTATCGCTGGCTACCTCTGCACTGCTCATGGTCGTGATTCCGATGCTTACGTCTCCGATACTGACGATTGTCTTTCTTCGAATTGCGGCGTCGGCGGAGGTGGCGGCGCTACTTACTTCCTCCGTCCACCCTCCCCCGAATGGGATAATCGGGATCTCAGTTCCTCCCCCCCTCCACCTTTACCACATCCCATTTTTGATTTTCCCTTCTTGGGTGGGGACGAGGGTGAGGATGATGACAGTCTGGCGGATCTGGAGGATTGCTTGATCTACTATCGATCGGGTGACGTGCTATTTGGTCCTCCCGCGACGCGCAAGAGTTCCTCCACCTCCTCCCTCCATGGTGGTTGGAGAGGTGCGTGTGGTGATGCCGAATCGCCGATCGTAACGCAGGCCAAATTGGAGGAGTGCGAGTCACTGGTGGAGAAGGTGAAGTTGATAAAGGCCCAGCTGTTGCAGAAGAAAGAAGAAAGAATGCAGCGCAGAATGAGACAGCATAAAAGTGAAGATAAACGAGAGGATAAAGAGCCCAATAAACCCACCGAAGAAAAGTTGAAATCATCCTGTGGTGAGTTCTGCTGTGTTTTGTGTGGAGGAATCACTTCAAGATGAGACCTTCTTTGTACCAGATTGTCTAACTCTAAGATGAGCACTTCGTTAGCTGCTTGTGGGCGTCTGCGCACACATCGTTAGTCACCAGTATATTTACAAGGTTCTGCGTATTTTCCTTCTCCTCCAGTACATGGTGTTTTGTGGTGCATTCACACTACTTAGTGGTACGAACGGGTTCGTACTGTTGTTGACCTGTGTTACTGTTTAAAAAAAATGCATTGTAAATCCTTCTGAGATGTGTTAATGATACGTTTGATAACGGCGACTAGTAGGTAGTAGGTAGATAAAATATCTTTTGATCGAAAGCATGTCCAAATGATGTCCTTCGAAAGCGAGCATATTTTGGTAGCACTCTTTTCCCCTGGGATGTGGTTATTTGAGCTCGATGTTTGTAAAGTGAGAGCTTGAATGTTTTGTCATAGAAGGCCCAGTGCTAAACGCGTTCACGAGCATCCTTTCCTGCATCTGGGCCACATGTGTTAAGATACATTGTGAATGAGTTGGATCTGAGCGTCAACAATGCGGAAAGTAGCGAAACCTCAAACTTCGCTAGGTAACTGGTCCGTTTTTTTCCACACAGTCAAAAATTGCCTGTCGGTGTTGCCGCATCGACTGTGTCCCATTACGATTGCTCGGCAATCATGTATTCCGTACATGAAGTAATCGTTTTTGCTGCTTCCCATGGCGAAATCTGTGGTGGATACTGCATCAGACTTCGCAAATGTTCCGCAGATCGCCTCGGTGAATGCATCCACTGGCGCGCATCGGAGTCGAGCACTTTGATACGTGCGCTTCAATGCACGTTTACTTACGCTAATTCCCAGCTTGCATACCTGAGACACATAGAACGAAACAATAATCGTCATCCTACGTAAATGCTGTTTCAATTGATACAAGTGGTTTTTTTTCATTTTCAACATACAATTACGTTTCTTCACATCGGTCAAACTTAAATGAGGCGTATTGGGTCAGCTTTTCTGCATATTAAGCTGTGACTCCGCATTGCCCTTTAAGTTGATAGGGGCTGCGTTGGCTCCACGTGTAGTGGTAAATTCGCACATCGTAGACGAGTGCCGTTATTGCACCGCGATTTCCATTAAATTTACTAGATTTAAGGCAATTTTATGGCTGGTTTAGGCTTTTTACAACTTCTGCATTTGCTACTACCCTCTGTTGATCAAAGGTTCAATTTTGACATTATCTAGCTCGCGATATTCTGTTGGGCTGAGTTTGGTAAATCCGATCTACTTTAGACCTTTTTTTCGCTCTTATTCATTGCCTCCATTACGCATCACTAAATGGGAGCGTGAAGCGTTTTTTCACTGTGCTCACTTCTGAAAATATGATACAATTACGGGGTTTTAAATTAATTTTTTCGGGAATAGACATAAAAACATTGACAACGGCAAGTCACGTTGTTTTGTCATTGAGAGGTTAACCAAGTGTTAATGAATTCAGCAAGGAAATAAGACAGACGGTTGTATAAATTAGTAATCACAAAGAAAAGATATCTCCATGGCATTTGTCATACATCTGATTGCATTAGAACGCCTATCTCACATCACTGGTGTGCTTGAGCTTGATAACCATTGCATAAACATGGGGTTATAACTCTTCTGCGGAACTTGTCATAGTGCTGCTCTGTTTTTCTCAGGTTTGTACACAAAACTGTCTTTATCGCCAATTTTGAATACACAATCGTCTTGCTGCGACGCTTTTCTTGACATTTCTCGGGTAAAAGAATAACGGCTGTCTTTGTTGAGTCACAAGAGTGAGCTCAGTGCTCGCTTAAACGCGCGCATCCATGCTACTCTTGAATCGCTTTTTCTTCCACCGCGCGTAGGCGCAGAAGGTACCCTTCCCCCGCTTGGTAAAGCTAGCAGTTACGGCAAACCGCATATGCCGAAGATCCGTTCCAGCGGCGGCCAGAGCCTCAAGAAAATGCTTCTCCGCCGTCCCTACACTACCACCTCGGCCGTGGATCTTCCGACAGCCGCTGTAGCATCAAATTCCGCCTCCTCTTCTACTGACAATCTCTCATCCACCATTGCTGCCACCGCTGGCTCTGGCTCCAGCATCACCAGAAGCTCACTTTTGCTGCCCTCAAGGCGCTTCGTCTCGCGCTTTCTCGAGTCCGATCGAAGGCCGAGAGGCATTGCACCCAATAAAACTACCTCTGAGACTAATTTGGAGGCTGCTGCCGTTATTCCCGGCTTCAGTGACGCCAGTAATGTTGGTGATATCTACGGCAGTAGTACCAGTAACAGCTACTTCAGCCGGTTAGTGTCTGTGTTAGTCCAAAAAGGCAGTTGCTCTACGAGTTCTCACTGATACAGAAATTGGTCTTCTGTCCTTCTCCCCTATCCATCTGATTTTTGAAGTTTGGTGGTTAGCTGAGATGGCATGGTTTTGCATCGATCTCGAATAAGGATTTGTTGATTTCGCCTTCTCAGCATCCTCGATTTTACTGTTGGCTGGAAGAGTAGTCAAGACGTCATTCTGTTTGTGAATGAACGGTTTCGTCAGTGTGTCACTCGATGCAAACTACTGGTACTCATGAGCTAAATGCTTCTATCACATAGTCAACCTGGCGGTGTATTGTTTACTGTGCACCTCTGTTGATAGTTAATTGCCTTCTTCATGTCACCACAAACTCACACCATGCCCTCTAGACCATCATTTAAACCCATCTATCACCTTACCAGTTGATATAATCACCTTATTTGTCTCCCCATCAACCATATCGTTTTATTCAAGGTTATGAATCACGCTTTCGTACTTAATATCAATAATATCTCAATAAACTCTACAGTGTTGCGCATATTTGTAATATGGCGTGTGGCCTTTCTGTAATATTTAGTGGTAATTCAGTTTTTCATGTGGACTTCGGATCAGATGTGCGCTGCGCGCGTCTATTGTCCCGGCTCTTACGCCCCATAGTTGTCAGTTATTCTGAGACGCCCGGTGTGCATACAGAGCACTGTTGCCCGTTGCTCCTTCTACAAGTGAACCATTACCGCTAATTTTTTTCACCTGCTATTATCCACTGCACGTGTCTTTTCAATTGACTCATCCTTGTGTGTAACTTTAGCTTCGGGCGCAGTCTCCGACTGCGCCGCTTTGGGACCGCCCAGTCGCCTGATATTTCAAAAATTGGTTGCTCTGATCGATTGATGGATACCCTCAACACCGGGAAGGAGGAGAAGGAGACGATAAGGACGGAGGCAGGAGGGGTATCCTCCCTCCCCTTGATCTTTCCACCTCTCCTCCCGTCCGCCGCCACCAACCCTGCGGAGTGCGACCGCCTACTTCGACCCACCACCGCTGCCACCGTCGCTGCCTCGTTGCTGCGTGGCCGCTCACCGACGGTGAAGAAAGCATTAGGCAGCTACTCTAACGATTCCTCAACTCCCGAAGAAATCACCCTTCCTCCTATTTTGAACACGGTGCGAGGGAATCTTACCCGGGGTGGAGGTGAAAGTATGTAAAACCCTTCTTTATCATTTTAAAAATAAATTTTTTGGCCATGTTGGTAGTTTTGCTAGGCATCTCGGACCATTTCACTGAAATTGAGGCAAAACCAGTTAAATTTACTTATTTTGGGAAGTAAAAGATTGCTTTTTTGTCAATGAGAAAGGCCTCTTTTTAGGAGAATCAGCATCTTGAGAAGAGCTCCTTTCATACCTAAAAATCTTTGGCCGTGCTTCTTTATAGCAGTGCCTATTCCATTTCGTATCGATATGTCTCTTCCAAAAAGCAGTACTTTTTCCCTGATTTACTTTTGAGTGAGCGTGAAATATTAGTTAAACTTTCGCCGACGAAAATCATCTTACTGTTTTAAGGATACACGAATTCATTGAACATTAAATGTTCATTTCGCGTTGGAAAAAGTTGTTTTAGGCTCTGGTTGACTAGTCAAACTTGCATCAAGGCTAATGGAAAGTAGGCGTGTCTAGAAGCTTACTCAGCTTCAGAACTTACAATGAAGGATGCGTAGAATGCAGATTTCCATTTTTCCTCTTATTTTCAATGATTCAACTGATGTCACACAAGTTGGCGAGGTCTATATCCTCCTCTCAATCGTGCGTACATTTCCTCCCCATCTTAAGTGGCCATGGTGGGAAGCTAAATGCGGTTGCTTTTCCCTTCATTTGGATTCAATTTGAGTTGCTCCTTGGCCCAAGTGGATTTTTTTCCTGAAAATCTTTGCTTTGCTTGCGACAGTGCCTGCCATTCGCCTGCACATCTGCGTGAAGTGGCGAAACACTCTTCAACCAGACAAAAGCATCTGTATGCTTGCGTGTAAGTGAAAGAGGATATGAAGGAAGGGGTAAATGCGTGTCTATACCATGCAGTTATCAGCAATGAGTCACCTTAAATGCAAGACGAGGTGAAGGAAGCATCAGCCATAGCGATTTGCCGCCTGCCGACGCATAAAAACCAGACTTTGGTCTCCTACATTACTTTATCCCTAATTTGGACGGCCTTCTGCTTTACATTTCGCACAGCGTGCTGTGTCCATTGCATCGAAGGCTCGTATTCTATTCTGTTTCAGCTTACGAAATACCTTCCCTTACGAAGAATTCTCAACTATCCTTGCCTTTGCATTAAAGTATGCTGGTTGCTTCACCATCACCATTACTCGCATTCTACCACCACAGGTTCTGGCCACGCCACCACGCGGATCGCAGTAGACGAGCACCGATCTCAGCCTCCATTGATGAACCCGTCGTCTTCCTCGAAGACGCGAAAGGACACATCGGAGCCTCCTCGGAGATCACCAAAAGTGAATACGAATCGATGCGCTAGCTGCAATCGCAAGACTGGCCTCGTTGACTCCTACACCTGCAGGTCTGTACTCTCGACTTCTTCTTTTAGCTTTGATCATTTTTTGGCATCCTTAAGTTTCTTACATCCGAGTTTTGCTCTCATTTACAGTCTCTCTTTGGGCATAATGCACTACCTCATCGGCCCCAATGCAACCTTGTAGTGTTACTCCATTAGTACTGACCTATTCCATGCAATAGACTTGAATTCCTACTCAGATACTGAAACGGAACGTTTAGAAGATCGCACATCAGACTCTTTTACTTGTCTATAAAAATATTCAGTGATAAAGCGATCCATAAACTCTTGGAAAGTGGAGTCGATTGAGTATTTCATAGGGCTGTCACAACCTTTTCCTCCACAGCTTCGCGTAAATAGGAAAAGCTTAGTGTGTTCATCTCCGCATGAAACTCGTACAAAATTGTGCATCTTAGGTTCCGCAAAGTGAAATCGCTGCAGAAAACGACACAAGGCATCCTGATAAGGCTATACTAGTGTAGTTTCGATGCAAATTTATGCTTTCCTCGGACTAGCAGGCGTGGAGGTTGGCACACCTCATTCTGCTGTTGGCGTCTCGTCAAATGCTGTTTTCTTTATTGTACTGCAACTTGTGCGATTGCGTGGTTCAGATTTGTAGTGCAATCGCACTAGCTTAAGCACAATCCCAACCCATTTCTACTGGCGATGCAGGCATCGCTCAATAATGGAGGCAATAGCAATTTAAGTAATTGCAGTCAAAAGAGAAAAGGGTGAAGAAAACAAAGCCACCCAATAACGGGCGTGAAATAATACTAGTAGCTTATAGTTTTATTTTTCTTGGGCGCTCTGTAGGTGTGAGCGCAACTTCTGTTCGAAGCACCGCTACGCGGAGTTGCACGCCTGTCCCTTCGACTACAAGGCGGACGCGAGACGGTACATTCGCGAGACCAATCCCGTCGTGACCGCAGCCAAACTGCCCAAAATATGAGTCGCTGCGTTGCCTGTGGCTGCACGTTTATTTTTGTTCAGTGTTTTATTTTCCTTCCTAGAGCATCCTTCTAGTTATAATTCACCTCTTCCCCCCACCCATTCACTCGTCTTCTCTTCTTACTGCTAGCGCTACGGCCCACCTTTATTTTTGTCCGCCTTCTTCTTACCTCCCTTGCCACAGACAAAACGCACCTTCCGTAGTTTCCTACCCCGTGCAGATGTTTGTCGTGTGAGTCCGACTTCCGTCTGCTTCCAACTTCCGCATCCGCACAACCGCTCGGCTACGTTTTCTTCGTTTTGATATTCCATCACACGCTGGCCGACTGATGATGCCCAAGCGAAATGATCGTTGTTAGTAGAAAGGTAGTGGATTTATGTTTAATCCTCCCACTCACTCCCTCCCACAATCGTCAGTTCGAGTTCACACCAATGCTGCTGCTGTGGCTACCACTTCTGCATGTGGTGGTGGTGTTCTCTGGAGGGAAGTGCGGGTTGCATTAGCCATATGCAGAGGCAAGCGAGCCCGGCCACGCCCAACTCGCTTGTGAGTACGTATATCACCGCTTTGAATTTGTGGCTTCCGGAGCCTAGTATTTATGAAATAGAAGTAAGCTGCCTACTTCCCGATTCACGTCTCCTTCACCTTCTATCCGCTGCGTGTGTCCATTCATTTTCAGCAGTATACGCCTTACGGGATGTGTACCTGTTATTCTTATCAGTTTGTTTGAAGAAATTGTAAGTACATTACTAGTCAGGATTCTAATAGGAACAAAATCTTTAGTTTGAAAAAGTGGCACGGACATTTGATCTCACAGTGAACCGTTCGTTAGTCGACTTTTCCGCCTTGAGCTTGTGAAAAGCGCTGATATCCAATTCTCAAATGGACTGCTTCACTCTTTGGCGTCTGGGTCTCTTTCCGTGGGCATAATTGAAGCAATCCTTTATCAAATGTTGTATTTAACTTTGAGATAGCCTTCTACTTGAAGGCAAATGACCTTGTCTTTAACGAGTGTGCGTACATTGTGTCAGTGTGATGTGCCGAATTTCGACCTCTTCGTCAAACGCACAAGGTAAGCCTACCATTTGAATGTGCTACGTGTTTTGGCCTCGGGCCGGCACAGCGACTAGTGATGTCCCACGCGTGTTCGTGACTTGACCTCGTAGGATGATGGGTCAGTTTCGGTTGCCTCTTGTTTACGCCTCCGAGGTGTCACAATCCAACTAAATTTCATGGGTCAGTCAAATTTGAGCCCAGTGTAATTACGCGTTTTCGGAATGCAAGCCTTCGCACAACTCAGGACACCTCATGGTTTAATGCTACTTCTTTTCCATTAAAGTACTTTTTCTAGTGTCTCATCACAAGTGCTTTGTCTGGGTGATTGAGATCACCGAGCCCCAAGGGTTAGAGGGCGTGGTTAATTATTAGTCTAATCGGTTTTACACTTTTTCTACCTGACTGATAGACTACCGAGGCAAAATCATCTTTGTAATGTCCCTTTGACCACTTGATCGTCTATTCAAACAAACTGCGGAAACAATGGCAGGTCTGGTCTGTTTAAGGAGTCCAATAAAGTATGCAGTTAAAGTGATCAGCAGTCCGTTTAGCCGTCGTCTGTCATGTAGGTTACAGGGGGTACTTGTCTACGAAAGTGGGGTCTACTCTGGTAGATCTAGAGCGTTTTTGTGACACGTTTTTCTGAAGGCCGGACCTTTTGCTTGTGAGTCAGTCAGATAAGTACGCAATGGAATGGGCTCTTGATCAGAAGCAAATGGGCTTGCGTGGGTCAATCGAAGGCTGGCATTTACGTCTCTTAGAATTGACTTGACACTCCATTTTATGCAAGAGGAGGGAAGTAGCATTGTAAGTGGTTAGAAAAGGCAAAACAAAAGCCTGGGTCACATTTTCAGCGCTGTGGGAGTACTTCTTTGTGGAACTTCCAAACAATTCAGGCATTGGCTGGTTGTATTGGTATGGAAGGCGTCCAAGTAGCTGTCTTGTTCATCCGCATTGTCCTTGTGACTGGTGGCTATGAAGAAAGATTTCTGGTGCAGTCTATTTATTGTCGCCCCGAGGTTCAGGTGCGTTTTGTTCGTAGTCGCAAGTCGTATTTTAACCTTTGGGGAATATCAATTTAAAGTTGACTCCTCCCTTCTTTTCGTTCTTAATCCCTGAGGCATCCTAGGCCAATTCCCCATTTACACTCTAGCCGATTTCGCCTTATGGACCTACTCAAAGTGGTGGCATCCAACATGTACTAACAATGACTGTAAGGTCAAGGTCATCCAAGTGATGTAAACATGGGAAAATGAAAACAATCTAACAGAACTCCAGCACACCCATAAGGTGTACTCTCTTTGTTGGCAATGAAGGTCTCCGCATTGAAACCTGATTGAGATTTTAACGGTCCCCACGCTCCTGCACGTACACAACATTCTGTCAACTGAGCAGTCATCTGCCGTTTACCCCCGAGGTCGTGCATGTTTTAAGCCTATCAAATTAATCTAAGGTACTGGGCGTCCCTTTTGGGGTAGGCCCACTCTTGCCACATCAAAGTGGCTACATTTCAGTCGGCCATTCCCAT